AATACCAGTGAAAATAAAAAAGCAGAGCCGTGACCAAACAGCGTTCAGCAGCTGCTGACTTCAAATATAAAATGAAATCGTTATCACACAAACCCCCACAAATTTTCTGCTTACTTACAGGCTACTGAAAGCTCTGCACAGGAGCGTGAGCACCGCTGGTGTGGGCCATTTCCACAGGCCAGTTCAGCTGCAGGACTTTCAGGAAGTGGCACGACTTTTTGGTGAAAGAATGGTTCTATTATCTTCTGAAGGGTAACACAGCCACCCTTTGAAGCACGGCCATACTTAAGGCGACAGATTTTTGTAACTTCTTTACCCTCCTTTCTGTAGTATTAAATATTTTTTAAACTTACATATTCAAGTTACTTGTTTGTTTATTCTTAAGCAACATGAATTTAGCTAAGAACAAAACTGCTGCGGTCTTTTGTATTAAGCATCTGTTCTCAAACAGCCACATTTAGCCTAATGCTCTTATTTTGCTGATAGAAACTAAGTTTAGCTTTTTTTTTTTTTTCCGGTGTGAGCTGTATTTCAAATGATGTTGAAAATCAAGCTGCAACTCTTTTGACAAATGGCTGATACATTTACTGATGCTATAATTCCTTAAACTGTGGTTACTATAACATACTGTCCATGTAAAAACCACTACAATTAATTTAGTGTTCTTTAAAGAACTACGAAGCTTACACACTGAAAAAATATGGAATATGGAAAATATATATATATTATATATAATACATCTTAACATTTTAGTCTGTTGAGGGTGAGGGGAGCCCAGCATTTTAGAAAGAACCACAAAAGCTGCCTTGAATCCATGTGTTGTCTATAGCAACGTTAGCTTAAAAAAACCCCAAACCCACAACCATTTGAGGAAGAATGTATAATGCAGAGGAGAGTTTAACTGCCAGCTTGTATGCCAGAAGTGGAAAACTGAATGTGAAAGAAGGGGATGGAGACACAGCCCTCAACTGTCTGTGAGCACCCAGTAAAATGAATACGTTCTTTTCGTTTTCAGACTAGTTCTGCAGTACATTGACACCGGGATCGTAGAAAACTCAGAGAGAATAGAAGGCCAGATTTTCCAAACTCTTAATACCCTGCACTGGGACAGGTTAAGTAAAGGTATAGATTTTAATGAGGTACTAGAGAAAGTGGAAAGAAATCTGTATTATGACTTTCTCTGCTTCTGGGTGGGTGCCAACATAAGGGAAGAACTGGACCTTTTAAAATTGATCCTGTTTAAAACACTAGAATTTCTTTTTCTCCCAGTAGTTACTGAACTAATCTATATTATAATTTTTTAGGTTCCCTCTTGGATAATGCAGAATTATTGTTTTGGTCTGAAAGTTTCATCACTACATTTGATTTCTGATGGCAAACTAAGCCTCCTGCTCTTCCTTAGAGCGTGGCCACTGCAGGCTAATGTAGTTCTAATCAGTTGTAGGTATCTGAAGTTGCTGTAAATGTTTGAAGTCTTGTTGGTGTTACTCACTTATGATGCCACTGTGTCTCCATAATGTAACTTTCTCTTAACAGAAGGTGAAACTTTTGTACACTTCATGGCTTAGGGAAAAAACCCTATGAATATTTTCAGCAGCTAACATAAAAAGCGCCCCTTATTTTTAACTGGAAACATATTCTGAGGCAAAGAGGAGTTAATATTTACATAGCAGGAGGGAATGAAAGATGAGTGATAATAATGTGCTGATGTACAGAAGACCTTGCTTCAGAGATGTGATACATTGATTGAGTGCTCTCTGATAATATCAACTGGCATTTAAGTAGAAAGAAGAAAATTTGCACTTTTTATTACTGATGTTTTTCGTAATTCAATAAACAGCATTTCAAAAGAAAGACATGTTTTGTTAAGAGAACTAGAAATTTTAATAAGTGAGACAGGTACACAAACCCCCAAATTCTATAATGATGTCCTCTTACCATACATAAGTGTTGCAGAAGGAAATCGTTACGTGAGCTGTGTGCACCTACCTGAACAAATAATTTGTTTGTATTAAAGGCTGGGGTTTTTCATATTCATTCTGTAAATGAAATACCTCTCAGATTTCTGTATCCTACAGGAACTGGGTCGTGTAGGGGTTCACTGATATCATGTCACACACACAGATCCCCTGAGGACCTCAGTGATTTATCATGCTTGGCTTATATGAATGACTGTCAGAAACGTAACTTCCATTTTTCATCACACGAATGGACGAAGATGAATACTGTGGTTTTGTGGAAAGAAAACCCTGAACTTTAGAAGACCACAACAGTCAGAGGGAAACCTGAGGATGAAATGTTTGAATAGGAGCAAGAAGTCACACCAACTTTTATGATAACAAAGACATTTCTGAAAGCCAGTTGTGTTATTTTTGTGGCTGCAGAAATGTGGAAACGAGAGGAAGAGTGGCATTTTCTAATGGCACTTGCTAGGAAAAGCCATGAACAGCATGTGAGGTTCTATTCCCAAATTTCTAATTTGAAGGGACAAATAATAGACTGCACCTGTTTTAGTTTGAGCTAAGAGAATAGCAGCCTTGAAGGAGTTTTAAGTACGGATTTATATTACACAAACAGTAAAACATTCTTATGTCACAATTTCCTGGGTAAATGACTTTCCCTTGGATTTGCTGTATTTCCAGTGCTCCCTGGAATAACAGATAGATAGTAATTAATTTGCTGGCACGTGAAGTGCAGAACTGGCAGGAAAGACTTTTAAAGAAAGAAGCTTGCTGTATAGACAGATTAATGCTAACGTGACAATTAAGTTGTGGTAGTGGTATGATTAAGACTAACTGTAGAAACCAAAATTGAAGTAACATTCCAGACATGACTGATGACTACTGGCACGTATAAGGAAGAGAAATACATGCTCTGGAGCACTTCGATGAAATGCCAACAATAAACTGAGACTGTTTCTTTAAACATCACACTAAATGATACAGAAGCTACTGTTCACAAATTGCTTTTGTGCTGAAAGATATGGCAAATGAACCCCGGGTATCCTGGAAATGCAGGCTAATTTAGACAGTTTTTAAAATGTCTTAATCTATAAGTAATAGGATTCTGCCACAACTGCCTTTGAGCAGAGCTTTCCCGATCATTTTTCAACGGTTAAATGGCTCAAAGAAAAGTAACATAAGTGAATGCTCTGATTTACATAATATATTGGTCTGTATATTTTTGATACCTAAAGTAGGCTGGCAGCTGTTAGTCACTAAGTATTTGTGGAAGGAAATCCACCTCCAGTTTACTGGCAGTGACCAAGGATTTTAAAGATTGAATGGACTTGAAAACTTATCTATCTTCAGTGCCAATAATCAGCACAGCTCCTACTCAGACCGAGACAGTCTAACCATGGATGGAATGAAGAAATTTCACTGTCATATCTAACAACCACTTCCATGATACTTTTCTAAGTATTTGCTGCTGGTCTGTGGGTTTCTGTAACAGCTTTACATGGCATCTATTTTCTACTACCCTTGGGAAAACATTTTCTCATACTGGCAGATAACGTTAGACATCTACCCATACAGGCTTGAGGATGGTCATAAAGCAGTCTTCTAACAGTGAGGAACTGTACTCAGAAACACACCATTTTCCTCTTATTAATGGTTGTCTGACTTAGCCTTTAAATTAGGGAAAACTGAATCAAATATTTGCTTATTGGTCTGTGTTGAGTATTTTCAGTTCTTTTCTACTAATGATGTTCCAAAGTGCTCAGTGAGAGTATCCCAGCAGGGTGGACACAGCTGTGTGCAAAAGGCTAGAAGAATCCTGACTGGATTTCAGACTAGAGGTGTCTGAAAGCCATACACAGATTACAGAGGGAGACAAAGCAAAGGTAATTAGGTTGAAGGTTTATTATTGCCTAAGTTCATACGCAGTAAAACTCCATCTAGAAAGACAGGGCATTAGCTTAACCAAACATCTAAAAATCTCCTCTGAATGACTGACTTGGGTTAAACTTGTTAGCTAGATGAGGCCAATGCAGTATCAGCCAGGGGTGAGAGCGGCAGTATTAAGAGTCTGTGTCCTGATTATAAGGTGAGACTGCAGGCTACCAGATACTGGAAGTCAAATTTTGCTCCTGCATGCTGCCAAGTCTTTTCATCCATCTTGGCTTCATAAAAAAGGCAGTGGTATCGAATTGATGTTGAACTGATCCTAAGGATTTAGTTCAGTTCAAAAAAACCCACTCCATCTCTCCCAAAGACAGAAGTGCTGCTTTACACACACAGAGATACTGACAGTGGTTTGACACTTTCATATTCAAACTGGAGTTCTAGGAAGGTAGGAATGCTTTGCTGTGATGCACAGAACATCCTATGTGGCAGATGTTGCCTTTGTTTAAGGGCATGAAACAGGCGATTCTGGCAGTTTTGCTGTATGGATGCAAAAGTGGGCACTTGAGACGGGAATCATTTAAGCTTTGAATGTCTGACTCATAAGAACATAATACAGCATGCTCAGATACTGATGTTTATAAATGGTATGAAGCATGGTGTTTTTATTAACTTCCTCTAAAATGCAATTAAAAATTTTCTGATTGAAAATGAGAGGAGATGGTCAGTAGGTAGGAAGATGGCTCGAGACAAGACCTAAAGCAATGGCTGGAGTGTTGCTGTTGGCACTTGCTAAGAAAGGTGGCAGAAACCAGAAGTGGAGAAACATGTGGTAAAAGAAGAATGGAAACAGTTTATCCATCGAACGAGTTTATCCAGTTGGTAACTCAACAACAATCTGGCATCCATAATATTAACAATTGCACAAATGGGAAGTGGATTTTCAAGTATTTCAGAATTAAGAAACCATCTAGCATCAAAAGGATACAGTGAATTTATATATATTTATATATACACACTTTCTACAAACTTATTATAAAAGACCATAGTTATTGATCATAGAGTACAGTCAAACTTCCTCACTTTATATCTGTTCAGTCTCCACGTACTGGAGTTATAAGCGAGAATAACTTGATGAAACAAGAGTTTATAAAATTTCTTTATAAGAGAACTTTTATTTAACAGTAAATTAGGCTGATAGGAGCAATGAATTCCAGTACTAACAGAGCCAAGTACCTGGTGTGTTCATGACTTGACTTCAGCTTCTTCCACTTGAGGTAGTGTATCCCAAACTGGTTTCTTAATGTGCTCAGGTATTCTCTCTATCTTAGTCTAAAAGGAAAGCAAAACAACCATTTGTTACACCAACTAGCTAACATCTAACCACTTTATTTACTCGTTTGAGATATGACTCAGATTAAAAATGCCATCTAGTGGCACTTCCAAGCAATACAGCCTTTTTACTGTGTAATACTTTTGAAAAACGTTCCTTCCAAATTACACCCATTTCCTCGGCTGACCTTCTAAAGACTTCAGTAGTTATTGGTATTTGCATAAGGACTAAAGTCTCATAAATCATTAAATTAATAATGTGGTGTGGAAACTTACCTTTTTTACTTCCATGGCAACCCCTTCAGGTAAGTTTCGTTGCACATACTCCAAGTAAACTGCAGCAGTACTGCTTGTCAGGTATTTTAACTAAAACAGAAGTAATGTTTGCTAATTAACTACTACTACTAATACTTCAAACAGAAAAAAAACCAAACCCAAAAGTTCGCTCAAGCTTCTTTTTAGCTTCTGTTATGGGGCCAAACATAAGAAAGGCAGTTCCCATGATACTGAACAGAGCTGGTTGTTGATCTGTACTCAACTCTCTTACTTCCCTCCACAGAACTGCACATGCTGCCTGGGATCATAGGCACTGGTTATGATGGAATTGGTCATCTTAACACGGCAGGTATCAGGTGAAATTAATTACAGGTTATGCAAGAATTACCCTCAAATTTCAAGCCTATTGTAAATCCTGCAACTCCAGAGTTCCACTGATTTTTTAGTGTCTCCTGGTTCCACTGAATTACTGACGTTTTAGTTTTTCCTGGAAGGCAAACACTGAGCTTATGGTCTGTGGGCAGCCATTTGTGCTACACTAATGTCTGGGGACTTCAAGTCTCATTTTGCTAAGCACTGTGCAAATGTACAGTAAGACACCCAGGAGCCACAAAATGCTGGCAGTAAACCTTTCTTCTAAGAAAGTCAACCACAGCTGCATTCTAAACCATACAAATGTCTGTGTCATTGGCCACAGAACTTGTGGTTTGTCTATGCTTCCTTTCTTGCATTTCCTCCATGTAGTTTTAGTTTGGCACATGATGCTGCATAGGGCAAAAGTATGTCTGTTCAAAAACATCAGACTCACAGAGAACAGAACCCTTAGTGATTGGCAACAACAATGATTTAGATGCATCTTCTTCCCTTCCTGAGAAGGCTTCCATCCCACTGACTTTTCATAACACACATGAAGATAACCCTCAATTCTACCTCATTCTTTTAGTCATCCTTTCAGCTCTTAAGATGATAGTCAAAACCAGCCTTTTAGTCCAAAAATTACATAGGCTGTGCATTCAGAATAACTTGTGTTACATTTGATGTACCTAAGTCAGCTGCTTTCTCATGTTCCCCTACACTCTCCTCCCCAACCCAAGTAAACAGGAAATTTGTTTTCACTTTTGAACTAACATCTAGTAACATCTTTGATTCGTGCACCCAGAAACCTTTTTTTTCCTTCTTTCTTACCTCCAAACACATGTAATGTGTTCTCATTTCATACTGAACTCGATGCTTCTTGTAAATATGTACAGATTTGAGAAGTGTAAATCGTTCTATCGTCTTTGGAGGTTTATCTCTGAACAAAGAAAAAGACAATTTCATGTTATATAAAGGATGATAATACAAGTTTATCTCAAAGATTACGCTGGAATCCCTGTTCTTATTTGACACTTACAAGATCTTCAAGGGAATATGAAACACTGTGGTATAGTTTGTTATTATAACTCACATGGGCATGATTAACACTCAGGTATTAGCCAGCATTAGCTCAGGGAAGCTACAGCACTGACAGCTGTATTTAGAGTACTGTCAATATCCTTCATGTAATCCACTACAGCAGTGCTGAGTGCAGATCTGCTGCTGCTTTCTTACCACTGTACTGCCATCTAAGAAGTGTCAGATTTATAATCTGAGAAAAAACTGTCAGATTACATCCATTTCTTAAAAAAAAAAGAGAAAATAATACTTCTAAGCACAGAACCTTAATTACAGTAGATGACATAAGAAGCATCTGACACCACATCACTCTACAGATCAGTTACTTACACTTTTTCAATAGAGATGCCAAGTTCTTTAGCTGCGAGCACTGCAAAATATTCATAGCTGTCCAACACAGCTTTATCGTGACCTTTAACTAAAATGGACAATCTCTTGTACAGTGTTTCTGGCTCATCTGAAATAGATACCTGCATTTTTAAAAAAGGACAAGAGTTACCACTGTATGTTCTCCTTAATTAATGCTCACACTGCCTGTTTCCTTAACCTGTGTGCCACGTTAGTAAAAGAGGAAAAACACCCTGCAACCTGTTCAGCTGCTTATTTATCTAACAGAGGCTGACTCTATTACCTTGATTGACAGGTCTCACTCTTATCAGGGAAAGCAAAGTATGAAGAGATAGCTAACTTCTGAACATTTAGGTAAAATTTCTTCATCCAAAAAGGAATGCCAGACAAATATAAGGAGGACAACGCTAGCAAAGCCAAGAATGAAATTCATTGTTAAAGCAAGTCTGGAGCAGCAGTATTTGTATTTTAAATAGCAGTGAGAGAATACCCCAAATACTCAGAAGTTTGCTTGGGTATGAAAAGTAACCAGAACATTATGGTCAACCGCCAGAATTCTCACTTACCTAAGTTAGTTATAGGACTACTTTAAACATAGCAGGCTTCCCAAGGTGTATTATCCTTTATGTTTGTGCAAATACAAGTTTATGATTTTCAGTTAGAGCTTCAGTTTCTGATGGCCTGGGCTCACTGATCATCGGAAGAGCCTTGATGTATCTAGAAGCACTGATTTTCCCACAGGTTTACTCCTAGGCAGTTTAGCACAGTAAATCCAGCCACGTGCCAGACATGGCAGGAAGGCTGGGGTCAGCACTGTACATCTAATGCTGCCTGTCAGATGTTTCTGAAGCCCTGGACAAAGAGCTACTAAGCTGCCACAGGTGCTGAACTGAATGTGGCCAAAAAGCTGGTATTTCATAGAGTTATGGCTGCACACAGAAAGCAGAAAGTGACTAAGTGGGAACTGTGAGCTAAAGAATCTTGCCCAAAAAACCCTCAAAAGATCTCAAATGCCAGTAATCTAAATTATTTCTTTCTCTATGACAAATTTAACATCACTAAGACAGAACTTTAAAAACCCGTAAGAAAGGAATTCAAGTTTTTCTGTATGTTCTCTTTATAACTAAGACAATATACAAAATACTGTGCTACAAAACACTTACCAAAGGATTGGTCTTAGGCTCCTGTGTATCAACATGGGATCCAGCCAGCCGTGCTCCCATCGAGTTGGAGCTTCTAGAAATACAAGGGGAAAAGCATAAAATAAGTTGTTAAAGATGGAGTTTTGTTTTTTTTTTTTAGGGACTACTGAGGAGCAGTGAAAGAAGGAGGGTCCTTTATACTTACGGAAGAAAATACTGCTTTTGCATAATTCTGCTTGCATAACTGACAGGAAAAGTTGATCCCTGTATAAAACAAATAAGTTATCCTGTGGGTTTTTCCCCCCAAACCAGAAAGTAGTCAGTTAATACAGGTTTATTAAAAATTACTTTTTTTGTACACCAAAGCACAGCACATTCCTAAGCACCGATCTGGCAAAGTATGACATCTGCTCCGTTGGAAAACACAGGAAAACAGAGGAAAACAGGACCATGGAAATAAATTTCAGTATACAATAGCACCTAAAAAAGGAACACATTAAAGGCACAATAATAGTATGCGCTTACTAATGAGGCACCTGAATAGCAACCACAAAGCATATTTTCAACAGAAGAATGTATTTTTTTGTGGCGTCAGATGTCATTTCTGTGTATGTTTTACTTTCATAGTAGAATATATATTAGTTTTGTCAAGTGACAAGCCTAAGTAGGACTTGTAAAAGCAATTGAAAACAGTATTCTAAAATGCAAAAACTCAACTTCTGAATTTAACTGGAAATTTTCTGTTTTTTCAGAAAAAAAGCTCCTTGTGATTTTGAACACTTGCTCTTCTGAAGAGAACATTTAAACAGAAATCCTTCTTACAAGTTAATGAGTCATATTTAAAAGATAACATGATTTTTCTGTGTTAAAAAGGTAATACAGTTGTTAATCAAGATGTAACATTATTATCTTTCATACTAGAATAACTGTTCCCTTCTGAACATTATGTGGCTTCTACCTTCCTTCCACTGATTCTTCATTTGACAAAGTTACAAACTACTGGGGAGGGAAGGGGGTGGGAAGGAACTTTCACTTGCCTAACAGAGCCTCAGGGCTGCAGCAGAATGCTAAAGCCAAATTATTTTCTTATCCTGCCCCTTGATATTCTTTTTAAGAGGTGCTGAAGCCATAGCTTTAAGAGAGAAGACAGATACCCTACCCACGAGTTATAGAGGCAACTGTCTAATCAAAACATCAGAAAACAGCCAGAATTTACACTTTTCTAGGTAATCTTACTGTAGTTGCTCATGGATATGCATAACTGACTACATGATGCTAATAGGTCCCTAACCTTTTCCAGCATGCATTATACACTCATTAGACATCAGCAGTGAATGAAGCTGTTTTCCGAAGTAATTCTGCCTCAATTGCTACTTATCCTACAAATGCTGCTTCCAATAAGAAAGATGACTGCAGGAAGAGGTAGGACAGATTCCTGTTTACAAAGGTGACTGTTGTACAAATGCCTCCCCTCAGGCAACCCTTTCAAATCCAGATGTTCACAGAGAGCCACTGGTGTTACATCCTTTAAATGCATGTCACAATAAGCAACTTCAGAAGCACTGAATATTTGCCACTATAGTTGATAATCATTCATAACATTTCAAAGTTTTTCCATTGGGAACTACTTGAGCCTTAATACCTGAAACTACTGAAATACATCTGATAATTCTCTAATGACACCTAATAAAATAGAGGGACTCTTTACAAGAGCGTGTAGTGACAGGACAAGGGAGAATGGGTTCAAACTGAAAGAGGGTAGGTGTCAATTAGATATTAGAGAAAATATCTTTTCTGTGAGGGTGGTGAGACACTGGAACAGGTTGCCCAGAGAAGCTGTGGCTGCCCCATCCCTGGAAGTGTTGAAGGCTACGGTGGATGTGGCTTTGAGCAACCTGGTCTAATGGAAGGTGTCCCTGCCCATGGCAGGGGTTTGGAACTAGATAGTCTTTAAGGTCCCTTTCAACCCAGATCATTCTATGATAAAATTATGTTGATACTTGCATGTCAATTCTCTCTCTCTGAAGTCCTAATAGTGCCTCCCTTCCATTCAACAGCAATAGGAAATACAATAACCATCACCTGACATCACTTCAGGAAGCAGACAGGCCTATGAGCATAGAAGATTGTATTCAGTGCAGAGCTTAAAGTGTGTGAGCAAGTACATGGCACAGAACCTGACCTCAGATGACAAATGTAAGACTACTGACTGTAATCATAACTAAGTTTTTTATCTGTTTTGGTTTTTCTGTGTATGCAGTCTCTGTTATGTATTCTTTTACTTCTAACTGCTTAACCTTGTAATAATGGATTAATTATTTGCATACAAAGATACGTGCGCTCAAAGCATATTGTGCTATATGGTTTTGGATACAAAAATTTCCATCTTCATGTAATAAAGATGAATCAAACAAAACATGATGAAGCAGTAGAGTCCTATCCCACCAGTTAAGCTCTCCAGCCTATCCAATATTCTATGATTATGCATGTTATTCCCACCACGTGCCATCTCCCTTTGTTACTAATTACGCAGGTATGCGTCACGTCTAAAATTAAAGGTGCTCTGTGCAAATTTTGACAAAATGATACACTGAATATCTCAAGTAGTAAAGATGGTGTTCAGCAGGCAGGAAAGTGCACTTTAACAGCTTCATTCTCTGATTTAAATACACTTGATGTGCTCTCGCTAATGGCCATCAGAGCAGGTGGAAAAGACACTCAAAGTCTGCAGAATTCAATTTCCTGTGTGAACCAAGACCTTGTACAAAACATAATTAAACCTCTCCTAGCGCAAAATAGCCTTAACTTTGCTGAAATACTCAGAGGAAGACAGAAGCCTGCAAGCTAAGCAAGTCCAGAATACAGTGCACACACAGAAGTGAATTTAAGCTTCAGAAAATGAATAGTAAACACCCAACATCGAATTTTCTCAATTTGAAAGCAATCACTCTTTAGAAGTCAAAACCAGCACGAAACATCGGCAGTGCAAAACACCTCCCTATTTTTTAACGTTTTAACTTCCAAGATTTGAAACTTTTAAGACTAGAAATTGGCTTGGCACATGACCTCCAAACCCAAGAGATCTATTCCTCACCATCCCTTACACCCAGAGTAAGTGCTGGGAAAAAACAAACAAACAAACAAACAACAGAACTGCAGGGAAGAGTTCTGAGAATCCATTAGGCGATGATGGCGTGCAGAGACACGGCCCCACGCTGTACCACCCCAATCCTCCCACAGCCCAAAGGATAACATTTGCCATGTCCCCTTTTCCCACTCCCCTCAGGAATGAAGACGCCAAGGGACGAGGAGGAGGAGAACGGGGCTCTCCCGTCCCCTCTCCCGCCACACGCCGCACCTGACAGAGCCGCCGCCACAGCCACCCGGCCGCCATCTTGTCTCCGCCCCGACCCGCCCCCCATCGCCCGGAAGGAGAAGCCCGGCCTCATGCACCACCCCCTTCCCTCAAGGGAAAGGCTCTGGCGACAGGACAGCGCTCGAGGGCGAGGAGACGAGTTGGGAGCTCGTTTGGCGCCGTGCGAGCTTCTAATTCGTCTCCCCGCCCCCGTCCCCGCCTCCCCCAGGCGCTGCCTCAGGGCACGACCGGCGGTGCAGCAGCTTCCCCTCAGCCGCTTCCCGACAACGCTGGCCCCGGTCCCCTCGCAGACACTCCCCGTCTTGTTCTCCAGGAATCGTTTGAAAAAACGATTACATGAACCTTAGTTTTCAACCTTTCCCCCTCCCTCTTAAAAATAGTTAAAAAAGGTATACAAGCCCGTTAGAGCAAAACCCAGCTAACTATATTTTACCGAAGTATTAAAATTACTGGAAATAGCACAGAAACCCATTTCTGTTAATAATATAACACAGGTTCTGATAGGAACGAAATATTTAAAGGGAGTGGGGAATAAACAAGTACTAATTCACTCCACTAAACCATCCTTAAATACACACAATCAGATAGGCATTAACCTGAAATTTAGCTTTGTGCAAGTCAAATGCCAATTTAGCTTTGTGCAAGTCAAATGCCAGGAGCAGGAACCTGAAACCAGCATAGATCACAAGTTATATCAAATGTATATTTTTTTTATTTTGTTACTTCCTCTGCCACCTAAAATTACAGTTGGCTTTTTACACTAAAGCACCTAAAATATTTACACAACCATCTTCTAATAAAATAACAGTTAAATATTGAAAATAAGATTTTTCTCATAAAATATGCTTTCTGTATGTACAGGTTTTATCAAAGAGGACTAGGTCCAATATTGAACAGTCTTCCATCATCAACCATCAGCAAGAAAACAAGTTTTCTGAAATAAAACTATGTCCAACTTGTACAAATAGGCAGAACAGCATCTGTTTAACAACAGCCAATGCAACACTTAATAATGATGAAGTCAATGTTTGAGGCCTAAACCATGTACTGCTTAGGAAATGTACATTTCTTTTTTTTTCCCTTTATGAATAACTTCTTTGGTTATCATTGTTCTGATATCTTTTTGGCTGTACAGCATCTGATTAATGTTACAGAACCAGGCATATATATGTGTGTGTATATATATATTTATAGATAAGTTTAGCACAGATCCTGTCCAATTGTTCCACTGTAGATACTTCAATAAAGAGCTGTTCTTCAGAATCAAGCCCATAAGTTTCTACTGTATTTCACGCTGTTCTTCAATCAGAATTCTGACTTCAAATATAATTTTGCTTAAACACGCAGTTTTTTCCCCACCATTAACAAGAGAATCTGAAAACACATCCATTTTCCAGTGTAGCAGCCTTTCTCAGAAAGATCCTTAGAACTTCAAAATGATACAATTTTGGGAGAGGGAGAAGAGATTCTGCTGGGCTGTTTCTAACACAGGCTCCTAAGAGCCAACACGTTACTACTGCTCACAAAACTCTCCACTTTGCAAACCATGAAGACTTTACAACCTATGAGATTTCTTGTCAGTGGATCTAGCTGGTGGTACAGAGCTGAGCACCCAGTGCACTGAGCCTGGGTTGCATATGGCCCCTGTAAAAGTAACACGTCACAGCACAGAACTGCTGGGGAGTGTCTGACTGACAGTTCAAGGAAGAAAGAAAAGCTGCCTGATTTCCTGAAACTCAAGGATACGGTAACTGAGAATGTCATCCCTTATGTGGTAGAGGGAGTGATATTTCACCCACTGGTCAAAACCAACTCAAAGAACCTCTGGAACAACCCCCAAAACACTAAAAAACCCATTTACATAGGAACTTCATTAACGAGAAACTGAGAAGTTATTATCATTCTCCTAAAGAGTTGTTCTTTAGCATCAGAGCATTTGACCTTAAGCAGAAACTTGAGGTCGTTTGGCTTCACATATTTGGCTCTGACAGACAAGGTACCTCTCTCTGTCAGTGGGTCCCACTGTTCTTGAACTTGTGTGATCCAGTACTCCTATAAAAGTGCCATAATTTGCTCTCATTTTGCATAGTTAAACAAGGAAGAAAGACAGTAGAAAATAAGACCTACCATCTCTCAGATTCTGCTAAAGGTATTAGGAATGTGGCAAAAAAAACCCAATAAAACAAAACCCAACCCATAAAAAAACCCCAAACAATGCTAAAACCTGGAAGATCTGAAATCAGTCTTATAAAATATTTTATAAAGTTAGCAATACTCCTCTACTGTGCAAAATTCACAAGAAAATCAGTGCTGCTACCTGTGAAAGCTCTACAACCAGCATTCATACTCTGTTATTAAAGGTCCACTCAACCTAACTCCAATTCTTCCTCAATTCTTTTATTCTGCAAGGTACGATTCTTTTGATATCCTGTTTACTCAGAGAACTAAATTTAAATTTATATAAACGTTGTCAAGGCATCCACCAGGTAGATCTGAACCTAAGGGAGGAGAAATGGTAATTAAACAGCAACATCAACTCACCTTTGCAGTATGTTTTACTGAATAAACAATATTTGAATTTGTTGTAATGAGGATTGAAAATGGCACAAGATTAACATGTTATACCTGGAAGTAATAACTAAATACGTGCTGAAGGCATATACTCCATCAGTCTCTGTTCCATGGGCAAGAATCCTGCACTGCTCAAGCACAGACTCCCCTAAAACCACCGAGATGGCTATTCCACAGTGTGATTTATTGTCACAGCACAGTATTTTCAGTGCAATCTGATTACCAAGGCAGTGTTCCTGATTCAGTGTTCCCATCAGATGATGTGAACCACAGTACAATCATTTTCTTTCTTCAGTCCTTGAATTAGGTCATTTTAAAATCAGAAGATCAAAACCTTGCTAAAATGGAAGGTCTGAAATGTCCTCTGTAAACAAGACAGAACTGAAAATGTACTGCAATTACAGATGATGCAGTCACTCCTGTAACTATTTCACAGTTAAATCAGATTTTTTCCCCCTCCATCTCCCTTAAAATGACAGTACAAAGAATGTAATCATATCTTTAAGAGAGATGACATTTAGTCTCTAGAAGATGCTGGAAATGATCCAATATAGGCAAAAAAAAAATGTTTCATCAGAAGTGTGTGAAGTTTATTCTTGCAATTGGGGTAAAATGAAACTTGGAAGAGTTAAAGACTAAAGATTCTACTGGGACCATCTGGAGGGAACTGACAGCAGAACCACAAACTTCTGTAATTAGTGGCCTTGGAAGTTACCAGCAAGAAGAGCTCAGATAAAAACACCTTATAAGAATATTTGTACCAATTATTTATTTCTTCCCCCAAAACACAATTTATTAAAAAAAAAGGGAAAAAAGCAGATTTTTTTTTTTTTTCTAGACCTGGATAAAACAATTATCATTTTCAACAGGTAGTTTACAATCAGTGGGGAATAAACAAGCAGTCCAGGTTTCCTGATTGATCCATTCAGGGTGTGCTCAGTAGCTGTCTATCAAACAACTTTATTTACAACTCAGCATCATCCTGCAGTAGATCTGGATCTTCATCATCCAATAAAAGGTCAGCATCCATGACTTCGTTCTCTTCCATGACATCACCCAGATCCGGAACAACATCGTCATCAATGTCACCAACATTTTCAACATGTTTAACCAAACCCATGTGATCCAGGGGGATCAAACTATGCCCAGCTGGCCCAGTAGTTCTTGCAATAGTGGCTGCCATTTCTGCTGCCACAGCAGCTTTCTGAGCCTTCTGCCTTTGCTGTTCTTCTTGTTGTCTGTGAGTCTTCATATGAGCATTGCGGCTTTTGATTTTGAAAAATACCCTAAATTTTAAAAGAAAAAAAGAAATCAGATAAAAACGCATTGCTTTTGATGAAGTGAGCCAAAAAAGACTCAACAACCTATCAGTACATTTGCTTCCTTGTCCTGAAATAGAAGTCAGTGAAGTCTGCAATGCCATGGTGCGAATTTCAGGGACAGACTACCAGATTTATACATCCTGATGGTATCAAAATGGCCTGCTCTGACTCTGCCAGAGGTAGTTTGTAACTCCCACACTTCAGTATCCATGCACAGCCTAATCCTCTCTGTATTGGTTTTACAACAATCTTGCACAGGATGGAAAAAGTGAAGGAATACATTAGGATGGACAATGCACAGCAACACAAAAGAAAGCTGCGCACTGTCACATCCAAGCCTGTGATGAAGCAGAAAGCTGGACTGTCAGATATACAAATTCTAGCAGATAAATGGATTCAGGAAAATAGGAGTAAATACTGCAGGGATATCACATCCAAAATGTCATGCAAACCCATCTCTGATAGTTTTGGTAAGAGGACTTCATCATCTAGGGGGAGAACTTCTTTTGAGACCATCAGAGTGAAATAAAGGGTTTGTTCACAGCACTATTGACCTGGAATCTAAACAGGCAAATGCGATGCAATACTGCAGACACTCATATACACTTACTTGCCACACTCCTTGCAAGGAAAAATTGTTGTTGGGTCGGTCTCACCACTTGTTGTGCTGTGGGCAGGTGAACTCTTGATGGAGCAGTATCCGCTCTGCGTACCAGATTTCTGCTTAGTGCCTGGAATGGTGCATTGTGTTTTTGTCACCTGATTCGTACCTCCATGAATGCGAGCGTGGCCATTTAGGGCTTGTCGGGAACTGAACACCTGATGGGGGGTTGTTGGGTGGAGGGAAGAAAAAAAAAAAAAAAAAAAAAAAAAAACCCCAAGAAATCACAAGACAATACTGGAACAGAAACTGCAGAAAGTAGGATGCTGAATGCATATCACAACAACTGTACACATCTAATATGCACGATCTCACTAAAGAAACGTAGTCATAATAAAACAAAGCAGTGAGCTATCCTCTTGGTTTCAGTTGTGTAATGTAATTGGAGCTGTTACCATATAGTAATTCTAACTGTTGCATCATCTCAGGATTCAATTTTCTGTACAGATCAAACTGCTTATATTTGGTGAGGTGGGAATTAAAAGTCAAGAATTAAAAGCAGTCAAAATATTTGTAATATCTTTGTAATACAGAGATATTCAGGAGATATCACTGCCCAGGAGTAGTCTAAATCCACGATCTCAAAAATCACAATTCACTAGTTTACACGCACCACCCCTCCCCCCTCCTTAAATATACCAAACAGACTCACAGCGCCACAGTTTGGCATTTTACAGATGAAGGAGGACGAAGAAAGTGGAAGACCCTGAAGAGCAGGCAGATCTATGGGTCCAACAAGAGGGATTGCGGGTGGGTCAGGAGACTTTTGCATTTCCCTTTCTTCCTTTCTGTCTTCTTCCATCTCCTCATCTTCCTCTAACACTTCCTCTTCTCCACTTGTCTGAAAAAGACAGTGCACTTAACAAATACTAGAAATATGGTCAAAGACAGCACTGGATAGTAGGACATATATAGTTCTGAACAGCAGGCTTTTTAATCAAGTCTGCTTCCCAGTTTCAGTATTTCCTCCCATCCTGAATGAACTTCTGGTCTTGCTGGAACTACCGCCACTTAACGGATAAGCTATAGCACATGAAGCTTATCTGCAGTGCTCAAAACACCCTCCATCTGTATTATGGAGCTGTAGCTCCAACGATCTACAGATGCCAGGCTGCAGTACTCTCCTGCCATTAGAAAGGCAATGTACACTGCATTTGTAGCCAAGTTACTTAATAAACCAAAAAAAAAAAATCTAACTCACAAACCAACACATCTCAAGTGGCGTTTGTACCAGAATGTTAGAGCAGCTTTTAGGAGCAGACATGGGCACAGGCATAATTTAAAGAGGTTTACCTGCTGGACTACACTTAGATAATGGACTTTTATCTTGTTACAGTCCAGGAACACAGATCTTGGTGCAGCTGAGGTCACAAAATGTTCATACAGAATATAATTTAGCATTATGTAATAATTTTGCTTGGAAGACACCTCTGTCACCTAGTTCAACCTCCTCCTCAACACAGCACAAACAAAAATTATCAAGTGTTAAACTTTCTCATATTCTTTTAGACTTACCAGGCATTCATCTCTTTTTTTCTCTAAACGTGTTCTGTGTTTCCGTCCCAAACGCAAGATTTTCTTCCAGGTATAGTAGTATTCCACACATTGTGCAACTGTCTTAGACTTAACCTGTAGTTGAGTAATACAGAAACAGTCCAATCTCAATTTTTTCCTTTCATTCAACACTATTTGAATATATTCCAAGAGGTTGGCTTTATTACTCAAACATTCAAATGGAGCAAAAAAAAAAAAGGCAGTTTGGCTACAACATGAATGCTCTTGTAGAATAGGTTTTTTTCAGGGTTTTTTTTCAGTCAAATTTGTGTTGACTTTTTCAGCTTCAGCAGATTTCTCTGGGATTCTCTAGACTCCAGCCAGAAAATGACTCAGAATATACTTTTGTAGCTCAAGTGTACAACACAACTGAGAAATCTAGGAATTAAGATTTGATTTGCATAAACCCACATGTTTTTCAACACTGGAGCTAAGAAGTAGGATATTGTGCCCTGAGATGTATACACCTTGCCTTTTCTGCTTCGTGGCAGAACATGAAAATTAAGCCCAAACATGTTCTCTCTTTATTAACAGGTTTCAACCCTTTCTGGCACAAGGCTCCATGCCAGGGACTCGGGTACCTTGTAACAAACTGCCAGAGAACACCACGATGTTAATGGAGAACCATACTTATCCCACACGTAGAATGCCATGATTTGGACTTCAGGTGTGGAAACTTTTACATGTAATAACAAAAGGAATAGTTTTTATTTATTTGTAACTGTTTTTTACTGGTACTTATTGCGTAGGTATGTCCAATGAATAAACCACTCTTGTAACCACTGCTGGCTCTACGCCTGCAATAAGCTGGTCTGACACTGGAGGGAAAACAAAGAGGAACAGAACACAGCAAAAGGAAAAAAAAAACAATTGACAGAACAGAAATAACCTTACCATTTTCTGTACATATATGAAATCTTTGCTGTAGGTGGACAATGCCTCTTTGAACAGCCTCCTTTCTTGATGCGTCCATTTGTCAGAACCTTAAAAAAAAAGTTAATTCATTATAAATTATAAAAACTCACCACCTTTATGCTGATGTAGCATTTGAAACAAAAACTGGGAAGCCTCAAGCACATGCTACTGATAACTGCTACCCAAATACAAGTATGGGTGTACTGACTCAGACCTCCAGTCCATCTAACCAGTATTCGGTCTCCAGCAGTAATCACAGATGGTTGCCTAGGAAACAGTAAGATCAGGGCAAGCAAACACAATGCCTCCCCCTAATTTTTCTTAACCTCTGACCACTTTTGGTGCAGGGGATTTCCTGAGTCTGGTGCAATGTGCTTATTTAGTAACTACCCTTGTAAGTGCTGAGCCACTCTTCCTTTCAACTGATTGAAATTCTTGCACTCAAAACATCCTTTGCTGAAGAGTTTCACAGATATGTAGATCATCTGCATGAAGAGCCATCTCCTTTTTCTTTGTTTCTTGGCTCCCAGTAGCTTCATTGGATGACCCTTTGTTCTTCAGGAGAAGGATAAAATGAATCCAAACCTGACCATCATCTCCATGCTATTCAAGATTCCATGCCCTTTCTGTCACTCCCAAACCTTTGATCATTACTGGTGTTCCTCTTTGAACCTTTACAGTACTAAAACATTCCTTATAGAGATGACAGTACCAGAAAGGCACACAGAAGTCCACATATGAGCAACCTTCAGACTTTCACAGTGGCACCATGTTCTCTATTCTCTTAATGTTTGACCTTAGCTTTTGTAAAATACAGAGCTGATGCTTTCTTAGACCTAGCATTATAATCCCAAACTGTCATTCTACTTGAGAAGTATCACCACAGAACTCATAATTTCCTGTGTAAAGCTTGTATTGTTTATTCCCATATATTCCACTTTACATTTGACTACACAGAAGTTCATCTATCATTTTGTTCTCCAGACAATAACTCTTACAAGATCCTTTTGCAGCTCTTCACTTGCATGGCTTGAGGTAAGACACTTAAAACCTCTGTGACAGGGGTCACAAGTATGTAGAGACTGTAGCAATGTGCAATATGCAAAAAGTATTTTCTGATCATTTAATGGAAGCTGTATATAAAATTTCTAAATACTGTTATTCTGCGTTTGCTCCACCAGCCGAACTGCCCATGAAAATGTGAAATCAACATTTAAATTGAAATGAATTTATGCTTCCTCAGTATGAAACAGAAGGAACACAGGATTGCTCTACTGCATCAAAGCAGTGTTCTGTTTGTTAAGAGTGGGCAGCATTACATATATTAAAGGAAGGATATGCAAGAAGCCATAATGTGGACGCCTCTGAAATGACTTACACTATGAGAAGATTCTACTTTAGCCTGAGAGTTTCTGAAATATCTATAACTTTTATGAAAAGAAATCTCTAATATTTCTGTCAATGTTACCATTTTCCACAGAAATGCTTGCCTCTGCACTGATTTCCATTAACTTGGACTTGACACCACACATGGTATTGAACTCTACAGGTTACTTATGTCTATAAAAAAATATATAGATTTTATCAACTACAAATGTTTTACTTTTCAGCATCAGCTCCCAAGCTTACAAGTTCAGAGCAGGTATCTCACTGCTCCTTTATATGCTGAAAACTACAAAATTAACTTTTCTGCAGCCTGTTTTATGTAGGCTTTTCCAGCACTGGATATAAGCATGCATTAGTTATTTCCACAGAGATTTACACTTAAAGCTCTCTTAAGCATCAGAGAAAGGCACTGGCTTCAAGCCACAAGTTTAACTTATTCTATTATCATCCGAAGATCTTTCTGCTGACACACTGCCTTTCCATCTTTCCCACCCTGAACCAGTGCCATTCCCTTCTTACACAACTTGTCAGTCGTTTGCATTTACCCTCACTTTGAACAGGGGTAAATTCACTGATTAAATGCAGGGGGCTACTCTATTATGCCAAAACATAATTTTAAAAAGGATAACAACACCATGATTTTTCTAGTCATGCTGCTCTTCTGTCTCTACCCCACCCTCCTAAAAAAACAACACAATAAAAATAATAACATAGAATCATTTCCATGAACTAATTTTATTGGACACCTTATGGAGGATTTGGGCCTTACAGACTTTCCCCAATAGCTGTGGTATTACCAGAGACCCTTATAAGATTATGCGGGTTAATTGGAAGTAACCTAATTAATAGAATAAATCCTGTGTAGGAAAAGAAACAGAAGAAAAGCTGTTTTTAACTCTGGTTGCCGGGAAACCACTTTTGCTCTTGTTAGCTTGAGGGAGATATAGAGAACATGCATAGAGAGAGATCTGCAATGCAGCAAAAAAGAATTTTGGGCTTCGGAATACAGATAAAATTTTAAAGCTGATCTTTATGTTTAGACATTTATTCTGTATTTTCTTTTACCTGCCATATTGTTTTTGCACTGATTAATCTGTAATAAATATCTTCTGCTAATCCGTGCACTTTGGGCCCAACTTGTGGGTTTCAAGGGGGCTACACATACACCTAGGCAGCCCCACTGAGAGGTGGCTCAAATCCACTACATCCAGCCTACACTGGGTCTGATCCACACCCTACTGCAGTACCTACAAAAAGCTTCCAGACTGCTCGAAGTGCCTTATTTCAGAGACCATCTCTCCTGCAGTTCTCACTGCAGAACTTCAGACCTGAGAAATTCTACTGCTCAGATGAGAACAATGCAAGTGTTTGCAGCAGTGATTAGATACACTTCCCTGTGTCTTCCCTAAAACACCATCCTGACAGATGGCCAAGTGTTAGAACAGAGAGATTAGGGTGTTCGTCCAAGCAGCCCTGGGTCAGCATAACCAGCTCTCTAGGCACACAACAGAAAATCCTCAAGTTTTATAGCTTGCTTCCCTCACAAGCCAACAGGTTTCCAAGGTGAGCTATTTGTTTGTACCCTCATTTGAGGGCAATGCTAAGGATGAGTTCGGATATTTATTGTTTGTGGTATCAGTAATTCTCATGAGTTAGTGCCATGCTCTGTTTCAGTATATTCCAACTTTAAATGTGGGAGGCCCAAGAGCTGTGATTTCCACAAGTCAACCCAAACACATACCACTTGAAGTTATATTAAAGCTATTCATGCACTAGATTGTCAGAAATTCCCAAATGCCTCGAGTGGCTGATTACAAACCCCAAATAAACTGTTATTCAAGAGCTGCTGCATGGTGCTTGAGTGATGCTGTCATATAATATAAGTTGCAATCACACACAAGAGCATTAGAAAGTAATGCTTTGACTTGTTATTTTATGGTTCTTAAATCCAGAGTGGTGATATTTTGTTTCATGCTGTGGTAAGTACAATCAAACTTTCTTTCCTGCTTAAGAAATGGTGATATGCTGGTGTCCACAGGTCTCAGTGCGAGTTAACAAGCATTAGCGTCGTCTTATGTTAAAGATTAAAAAAACAGTCTCTCCTGGCTCCTCCCTGAATCGCAATAAAACACTTTCTGAAACTACTCTGAAGTTGTTTCAGTAAACACTGTTGGTCCTCTGCCACACAGGCAGAAATTTCTTGTCTGCTTTGCTAATTAGATTGTTCACTGAGGAGGAGGTTGCTGGGATATCTCCTCATCTTCCTGCTCTCATGCCTTGAACTGTCTCACATGTATGATTTAGCATCATCTCTTCAGACAAGAGACCCTGGTCAAAGTTCCTGGCTGATGTTCTCCTCCATCCACCCACATGCCCACCCTTTTGACTGCAACAGAGTTGTTATCAAAGGCACTGGGCATCTCCCTCAGACGAAACTCTAAACCTGATGTTCATATTTATTCATTATCATTATGAGCTGCTATCAAATGTGTTTCTGTTCTTGTTCTCAGGCCAAGAGGTTAAGGATTTGCTTTACAAAAGATCTTCTGTTACTTGTGAGCCTTTCCAGTGGGCTGCTAGAGCCAGGAAGTAGCTTGGTTCTATAATTATGTCGCACAATGACTGTAACTGGAAATCAGTACATGAGCTTGGACACTGTGATTGACTGACCACCAGAAGACAAACCAGAAGGTTCGTTTCCCATTGAGCCTAAACTGGAGATGAAGTCTTAACTGTATTATGTAAAACCCTATTCAGTGTCTAAGCAGTTGTTAGCCACTACAAAGCATTAAGGACTAAAAGAGAGGGCTACAGAGGAGAGACATTTGCCATCTATGTTCAGGTGACATGACTTAAGCCCCACGGCTTAACATCACATCGTGTATTTCACGGAGGGCACTTCTGCTTCATCATTCCAATATAGTTCTTGCTAGGTCTGTGAAAGAAGTCACCAACCCGGACTTATTTTGGTTAGACCCACACAAAGAGAGGTTCTGTAAGCAGCACTTAGACAGTAGTAGGAGTTACACCACTGCTTCTTCGGAAGGATGCTCATGATCATCGTATTCATTGACTGTGCACCATCACCTCAGAGAAGGCAGGCAGATGATGGAAGATGTTTATATACCAGACAATTAAGACCTTACTGATAGTAAATTATAAATTACAAATAGCAGCAGTTTTAAAAGGAGATCACATTTCAGTTTAAGAGAAAAAGAATCACTTGAGGCAGTTTTAAATCCATAGAATTTTACACAGCAACATGGATGCAAATTTTCCAAATATTTTCAGTCATGTAAAAAACTGCTAAACTTGTGACAAAAGGCTCTGGAAATACCCCTCGACACTGTCCACATCACCTCTCCATTACATGCTGCCATCCCTGCAGCAGACAGCAGAGAGTGCAGTGTGATCCCATGCTCCAGCCTGGCATGCCAGGCTTGGACTCTGTACACCAGCAGACAGAGAGATCACAAGGAAACCTACCGGCGTAGTGGTAATTTGCCAAAGGATGACACTTCAATCTCACTGGCTTTCGCAACAGCAGCTTTTCAAGAGCAACCTAAATGAAAAAGCAGGGAAAAACAGAATTAGCAAATGCAATCGGCTGCTGCATAAAACTGCATTTAGAAGACTATTTTGTACAAGGATGCGAATTAATTTTCTCTCTTTTCTCTTTTCTGTCATACAAAATCACATCAAATTACTCACAGCCCATTAACACTGTACCTCACAAAAGAGCATCTAATGTGCACCTGCCTTGCCTTAATTAGCAGAAAACTGGCTATTACTTAGCAACTTCCAGCTCTTCCCTCCCTTCTGCTTGCGACATACAAATATTTTATTGTGTTTGACTTGATAGTGTTAATTGACACTAACATTTAATGGTTGGTTCGACAGCATTAATATAGCATGAAGTCTTTTAGAATACCCGTTTAGGTCAACATCTGTCAGGAATGACAGCCAGTATAGCTAATCCTCCTTCAGAGCAGAGAAATAGATGATTTGTGGATCCCTAAAATTTTTCCCCTGACAATTCAGACTCCCTGTAAAGCAAATTCCACATCCTGACAGTAAGTTCAGTCACCTGACTCAGATCACTCAGATACAGCTAACAGAGCCTAAGGAAACTGGGACACAAGCTAAACCCCACTGTATTAGACAATACTGTGAGATCATTCCAGCCCTGTGTTCTGTTGCATTTTGTTTTAAACTGGTTTTCCAGGAACTGGTGCAAGGGCCTTGTCTTTCTCAACATTGGGCAAAATGGATGTTTTGCCCTAGTTAATAACATTCCCATTGCTAAACTAATGCAAATATTTGAAATGCATTATTTATATAAGAACTGTGTGCAATTACTTCACAGTTCTGAACAAATAAGTAGATGTGACTGCTGCTACAAAAAAATGTTTCTTTAAGGGCTAGAGGAGGACTAAGCTCTCTGTGACCAAGTATAAAGCCTGTGAAATATCAGGGCTGGAGCAAGCACTGGGAGACATTCAAAGCTCCAAGGCTATAAACTAAGTAATCTTATCTATATGAAATATACAGTAAACCTTCAGAGAGGCACTGCTTTGAAATTTAAATTTATTAGAGAATAAAGTGAAAAGTCATTCCCCAAAAATGTTACAGGATGTTTAAAGCATCACTGCAAATCAATCAGAAATCTTCTTTATACAACCATATCTAAATCCATTTAATAAAGCATGCTAATTTATCTGCAGAAGAGGATCATATCTCCCCTTTCAGCTTCTTATCTTACCATAATATCTCCTTTCGCTTCAAAGAGAGAGTGCAAAGCGTATTCTGAGTTAGTTCCTCCACCAGGTAACACACTGGAACAGCTCATATTTAAAAGGTCTTCCACTGTCAGAAATAAGTCAACATTTTACTGCTGATACAGTAGCCTGTCAGTCAAACATCCAGAGCCAAAGATTCTGTAACGCTACTCAAAGACCACATAGTTCAGGGCAGCAGCTTCTTCCATACTCTCTCTCCCCAGCATCTCATCTCCTTGTTTTAGGATAACTCACTGAGGAGAGGATGTAATGGGATTTGCAGAGTGCATCCTTGGGACAGGACAAGCTACTACAGATCCAGAGATCTACCTGTGAGGCAGTGACTTGCACATGCCCGTGCCAAGAACGGGCTTGTTGTGCCAAGAACAGCCAGGGTAGAGAAACTGAAATGAACTGTGCTGGAAGCAGGAAAGAACTCTGTTCAGGACAGGTAGAATCCACCAATCTTGTCACATTTCCTCTCAGCTATGGTCACAGGACAGGCCCAGGGGCCATCAGCTGCCTCTGATCTGTGACCTCTGCCCATACAAGGCAGTTCAGTACCCAACTTCCCAGAACAATCCTTCCCCCTTGGCTGCCAAAAAGCAGTTCATTCAGACTTCACTTTAAATGCCATTATATAATGCTATTACTCTGAACCTGTAACATGTAGTTCTGGTCTTCCTCTGCATTCTCAGCAATTAATATTCTCCTGAATGTTTTGTACAGTACACACATGAGAAATCAATGTGTATTTCTTCAACAGGCACAGGCTGACACAGGAATTTCTAAAACAGCAAATCATCGTACCTCTTTGTTGGAAGACTTTGTTCTCCAGTTCTGGCCATGGTTTCCAAACCAAAGTAGCCTTGTGCACGTCTTTCTCCATAAGCAATCTGTCCTGCAGCTCAGGAATATCAGCCTGGAACCTGGACCCGATATTGATTCGCCTGTAAAGATGAATAAATACGTAAGTATTCAACTACATGAGGTGCAGAAAAAACAGAATTCACTTTAGTGTTCACTTCATTTCCAACAAAACTTTTATTGCACTCAAGTGGCAGGAAATTGTGTCAGATTGCTTTACGCAATGCTTTACTCCCAGTGGGGTAAGTATTTTGAATACTAGAGAGAACTGATCTCTTGGGGGAAAACAAAAATTTCAATATGCAATTTAAACTATACTGAGACATCACACCTTAGGGACAACCCAAGCTATCTTATATGCATGACTAGCAAAGAGGCTAGATGTCAGAAACAGCAACTTTCTGTTCCATAGAGAATGGTACTCTTCAGCAGAGAGCAGAAAGAGCCATTACTGCTGAGGGACAATCCTGTTTGCATTTGCCTGGGGAACCTACCAGGTAATACCTTTCTAAAGCTCCACTGTAGATATAAAAATATATGTTAAAAACCTAAAGTACTGAATCAGCACATTTTCCTCACGGCCCTCTTCCCAGCCATCACTGGTGTTTCACTTTCAGTGGCTGCCACCAAGCCTCTCCAAGCATTTTTGAGCCATGACACCTAAACCTCCTGTAGCCACTTTGCTCCAAACGTCCTCAGCTGCCATCCACAAAAAACTTCAATGAACCCAGCTCAACATGATTTCAGGCAGTTGAACACTACCTGCCCAGTTCAAAACACTTCAGGCCACATGCTCTAGGCTGGAAGTAGTCTATAAAAGCAGTGACAAAAAAAATTGTTTTTCTTACGGTTCAACAGTCTGTTCTCCAGGCCCAGGCGTCACTGGAATGACACTTCCATCAATACTATCTGAAACAGAGATTGGAGTTTGAGTATTGCTGTGTTGCTGTTGATGAACCACCTCCAGGGCTGCACTGACACCTCCCTATTAACATCAACATTACTCCAGTCTATGATGGAAAAATGACCCTTTATTGATATTTAGACAGAAACAGTCTAAATTTTTATAGGTAACAGAAATGTCCAAACTTGCAGAGGTTTCTACTGCTCTGATCATGGGTGATTAGACACCTTTTCTTGTGAAGCACTGAATAAATACTTAAAGTGAACCCCCTGTCTCAAACCAAGTCTTTTTCCTCCACTTCAGAAGGCCCAGATGTAATGAGAGGCATGATGGTCCTTTCTCGAGGCAGACCACATGGAAAGATCACAGCCTTACTCGCTGATTAGGTTCCTCTATACATTTTATGCCTCAACACTTCCGCTGCAAAATCCAAGGCAAAACTGGGCTTTTCCTGTGATTTAGCAGAAGTGGCCATGCATGTGAGCACACATAAAAATCATCGATGTGATAACACAGGAAGACAGGACAGTGGCATTTCCCTTGTACTGCTGCTCTGCAAAAGTAATACTTACTAGACCGACACAGGAGCACCCGTGGAGTAGGTGTCAGGGGAGTAAGTGGCAGCTGAGTATGTGAGGTGCTATGAGTTGAAGTGATAACACTGCTGAAGAGACCAGACCCTTGCCGAACTGGACTAAGCATCGGTGGCGGAGTGTAGGGGGGGAGCTCATGTGTCCGGTCTAGCAGATGATCTCCCAGAACACGGGGAGAGCGAAGCTGACTCTGGTACAGAGTGGCACCGGAGTGGGACATGCTGAGGTTGAAAGAAGGAGGAGGTATGAAGAGAGGTTCCGGTCTGTGCCGATACTTCTTCTTATCCTGTAATGGTTTGAAGTTTTCTTCCAATTTTACAGCACTTGGATGAGGTTTTTTGCTAGTTTCCTAAATGAAAACATGTAAAACCTTAGTATTCAGGCATGCTTAAATGTAGTTTGCACACAATCCCCTACAGATTTGGGCAATGGCCACAGAAAAGCTGTAACCAGCATGCAGTTATTCAGGTATCACCATAATAACCCTGGCCAATACAGTATCTGGTGCTACACAGAAACCTCAAGGGAGTGAGAAAAACCAGGATAAATTAACCTCCACCTCTGTCAGCCAGCCCTCTGGGTCAAGGCAGGGCTGAGCCACAGGGACAGACATAGAAAGGCTGCTGCCAGCTTTTGAAAGTGCTGGGAACAGCTCTCCCAGACCACGAGTCACCCACGCCCTTCTTCAACTCTACCCAGCACCCTGGGCACTTCTATTTGCACTGAGCACACACACAGGCTGTTGGGAGATACTTCATGTGAGTCACTGTTTATTAGAAACTTTATATGAGAGCTTTTTCAATGCATGCATTTAGTTTGACCAGGAAGGACATGTGAGCTCAGTGAAATTACTGCAGTACTCAGCAGCAGGAAAGGAAGAAAAATGTAATAAATTCAAATTCTTTGCCTCTTATCACTACATTCCCATCGGCTTGATTACAGTCCAGCTGCAACAAATCTTGAACTTAACTCTCTCCTTTTTTCCTTGGAGAAAAAAGGGGTAGTAGATGACCATTTGGGAAATTCACACACTGTAACATGCACGGACTTCTAGAATTTGAATGTTAAAAATCATTTAATAACATTTAGAGTACACAGAAGCAGAAGGCACAGAATCTGTGCAAACCTGGAATCTGGATTTCTGTGGGGTGGGGATGAGGTAGGAAGAAAGAGGTTCTCAACTTGTGCTTTAAGAACATGGTATATGAACACAGAATTAAATGTATTGCTCTTAGGTGTTTAGATTGTAAGTCATCTTTAGGATAAATCTGGGAAGTAGAATAAAATTTTTGACTGATGGGGTTACTCCGTAATGTCTGCATCATCTGGTAAATTCTACTACTACATGAAGCAAATTACTGCAGTGTATGTTTAAACAACATACATCTTTACACCATGGGTGGTTCTTGTGAATCACATTCACCCAATAAAAATCATGTTAAACAAGCATTAGCACTGTCACCCTTTATCCCTAATGTTAATAAGTTCCAGCTTGAGGAAATGTTTTTGATTACAGAGGTCCTGTCCTCTCTGTTAGATCATGGCTGTATCCTCTCCAACAGCTGTTGACATTTTTTCTCTGTGAAAAAAAATTAACTTTTGGAAGAGTTTTGCTTTTGCATGGAAGAAAATGCAACCTTACAGAGGATTTTTTTGATAATGAACAGTGAAAATTACCCGAAAGGATAGATACAGTCCATCAGGATGGTGAACATTTAGTGTTCAAAAAGGAGAAAGAAGAAAAAATCCAAAAAACCCAAAACCTAAAAAAGATACCCAGAGGGACAGATCCAAGTCTTTGATTAAGGGCTCATTTGGTACTCCTTTCTCACTAGTGTAAAGCAAACCAGCCAACCAAGACAACATCTTAGAAGTCCTAAATACCTCCACCACCTCCATGGCTTCACCTACAGTACACCTTAACTGCAGTGGGGCTACGCCAACACTGCTTTCAAAAAAGATCACACTTAATAGTAAAGGAGACAGTGGCATCCATGGGCTCTTGATTAAGAATCACCCTGATACTTTTCTGAAGCTTGAGGAACTGATTCCTATTATCCAAGACAGAATGCATCCTTGTGGGCCCTGCTGCCACACCTTGACAGATCCACTCTGGGTAGATCCTCATGGACCTCCTTTAACTGCTAGCTTCAGCTCATCATCCTACAGCCTTGCTGAATATTTAGGTACTTTCTGCTGTTTGATTCCATCAGCTTTGTGGGAGCTTTTCTGGACAGCTCAAAGCACGGTATAAATAAATGCAACACAGTTTCAGTTCTTTGGTATTAGGAAAAAAACCCTCTCCAATGGTACAAAATCTTTTTAAAGAAGAAGAGGGAAACTGTAGATCTTTTGATCATTCAGTGTTTCCAATGCTACTGCTTAAATAAAAGATAGGGTCCAGAGAGGAAACTGCATGAATTTCGTTTGCTTGGGCAATAACAAAGACCACAAGCATCATTTTGAGGGAACGAATGCGCATTTAGCCAAACACTGGCAGATTTAATCAGTCACTTTACATACACTGCAGAAATACACAAGCCCAAGCCACCTACTCTGATGTCTCTAGAGAAGATCTCCCACTCAGAGCTCGAGGATTCAGAAAAGACTGTCCCTATTCTTTAGAGGAACTAGAAATAGAAATGAAAAACTGTACTGCTGGGTTACTAAGTATTGTGAAATGCTGGCTTTCCCAGTAAAGTGGAAGTTTGTGTGTAAAACCTCTGCTTGAAAGGACGAGAGAAAAGATTTTATATACATTTAAAATTAGTGTGAATGTCTGAGTGAAAGGTTGGGGGGCTGATAAATACATGGAATATTTTAAGGAGTCACCTATGATGGTATATGCTGTCCCCTTGTTTGGCCATCAGCCTCGCATGGAGCAGGAAAAGAAAAAATATCACAAGAGTATTTCTCTGCATTGTACAGATAATACCATACAGTACTTATACTCCCCAGTAATCCCTTATCATGTCTGCCAACATGGATTTGAAGGAACAAGCAGAATCTGTTCCTACACTGGAACATGAAATAAATACTGCTTGCTCCAGGACTCTTTCAGGAAAACAATAAAGAGCATTTTCACATCTCATTCAAGTACTCATCAATTCCTTGTGCTGCCTGACAATTTCAGTTTTACGAGCGAAATGAAAGCACTAAGCATAGCTATTTTTCTGTAACAGAGCTCTCAGTGATTAACCCTTCGAGCTGATGCATGCAGAGGGAAAGGGAAAAATTACTTCACTGAAAAACTCCAAGTCGACAAGCTTCATATTGGCTTGGAGCACCCACTCTAAGCACTGCACTATCTTCAGCTGAAATGAGCAGCACACATATCTGACTTTAAAGAACAGGAAGAAATAAAACTGCTGAATTTAAGCAATAACATGACAATGAAGCAGCCTGAAAAGGAAAAAACAAAACCAGTAAAAAGATAGTAAATCCCTTTGTTCTAGTGGGATAAAATAATATCACATTTTGATTTCAAATTACTTATTTTCAACTGAGATCTTGATTCCTCAGCAAAGGGAAAATAAGTATTTCCAAATCATGGAGGAAGACATGCTGTGATGCTACAAGACTTTTTTTTGTTTATTAGGAATCATAAAGAGTCCAGAAAATATTTTAAAACACAGATGTTTTAGAAAATAGCGGCACTATAAGCAAAGGGATTTAACAAGCACAGGACAGTTAGTGGCAAGAAACACAGCACTCACAGAGGATGAGCAGGGGTTGGCCACTTTTGGACTGCATGGTGGAGAGTAAGTCATCTTCACGAGAACGGGCATCTCGTCATCTGACACAGAGTTGGCAGGCTTGTCTGTGACTGTGGCAGCGCTGGCAGAGGGCTGCGTGCTGGGCTCAGGTGACAGAAGCTTTACAGGGACAGACACTGGCATGACGATGGGCGCGAGGCTATCCACCTCTTTAGGCAGCGGCTGCTGTGGTGGTTTCTCTCCTTCATCCTGTACAGACAATTAAAGGCTTTCAGCCCGAGTGAGGGAGCGCTGCTTCTGGATCGATACACTACACAATGTATGCACCGTGGCTGGAAAGAAGTGGCCAGGGTTACAAAACACACACCAGTATTCCTTCCTGGGACTCTTTATTTGCCTTCAATGACGTTGGCAGATTACTTATGATTCCTGCACAGGATTCAGCCTTGGTGACAAATAATCATCTGAAACATCCTTACAAGATAACTTGCAGGAGGGCAGATAAACATATCTCTTTATATCACTACAAACACAGAATTCTCCATTACTCACCTAAAAACAAAGACACAAACTGTAACTTTGGTAGCTTTTTACCTTCCTATGGTGTTCCTTGTTAGGACAGAATTTCTAAAATATCAGGATAGAGAAGGACCAACTGACTGTTATGCAGAACAACTCAAACACAAAGTTTTTGGTTTGGCATTTGTTGATACCTATAGAACTAAAACACTTCGGAAGAAAGCTGTCAAAGATTCAAAAATTCTGCTCTTTCAGTTAAAGCCTGGGAAGGCTTCCAATAAATATCCCTTAGTCATCCAAGTAGTTCAAATAAAAATAAGGAAGACTTGATGTTCCTGGTATTTCTAATATAATAAACAAACATGCAGGGGAAAAAAATTAGACACTCCTGACATGACTTTGTAGGGTGTTTCTGTAATGTGCAGAGAAAAGAGAAGGACAAACACTGATTTATCCTCCACCACTGCCTCTGACTTTAAAACAAGACTTCTGGCCTATAACCTAACAGAATTATGTGCATTTCTACTTACACAGGGTATGACATAACAAAACAGTGCTGAGAAGAACAAGTTTTGACAGCAAAGCAAAGCATGGCAAAGCAAGCAAACACAAAAGGAGAGTGCCAAGTACTGAAGTAAAATGGACTGATACCTGTTTGAAGTTAGGAGATGCTCTTACTCCTCCGTGTGACCTCATGTGACCATTTAGAGCAGGCAAACTCTTAAACTCCTTCAAGCATATTGAACACATTAGCTTGTTCTTCACATCAGCTCTCTCAGGAAGTGTTTCTCTGTTCTGGCCACTACATTTGTTTTCATTTTTTTAAGCATGGAGCAGAAGAAAAAACATTAATTTGGCATGTTTCCTTTGTTGCAGAGGAAGCTTTTTTAGTCAAGGAACTAAATGAAATTTTACAGCTAGATGGCTAAGAAGTCATAGTTAAGCATGTGGTGACTGCTGTGGAATACATGGCCAATTACCTAGATGAGCTGCTCCCAAGATGGGGAGAAGGGAAGTTTTGAGTAGGATGTGCTCATCAAAATGTGGGTCTCAATATAGAAAAGTCTGAGAACCCATGAGATCTATCATGACAGACCTACGTTTTCCCCCCTCATGACACAATGCCTCTAACTTATGGTAGACAACCATGTTCATTGTCAACCTCAACCTTCAGAGGTGAGACCTTAAGAAAAAAATAGAAGATCTCTGCTGCCAAAGTTACAAATCCAAACCACACACCATTCCTTCACTTATAAATGCAACACAGAGCAAACTGCTCCCCTGCTTTTGGGGTTTTTTTAGTTTCCTTCCCATACCTCCCCCTTTTTTTTTTTTATTTATTTGATTTTATTGTGGAAGGGGGATGCTGGAAATCACACAAACTTAAAATCACAAACCACAAAACTAAAGACATTTCTAGGAGAGCAACAATTATTACCTACCCAGACTGCATTCTTTTCCCTCTAAACTGCAGAACTTTGCATTTCTCATATTTAAAAAGACCAAAAAAAAAATTTTAAAAATACCTTTGTTCTGGGGACAGCTGCTGCAGTCTGCCTTCTGACAGTTGCACCTGCTATCAAAGGAGGAGAAAGGAAAATAAGGGAAAAAGGAGAAAATAATTTTTCAGGAAATATTAATGTGTAAATGAAGATCCTTACAGCACTAAGTTTGCATTTTGTGTATGATTTTACAGATATTAAAAGCCTCTGAGAGGCTGACATCAAATCAGTGCCCCTGTGAGCATAGCTACTGCAAGTTTTCTTCCATTCACCTGTTGTTTGAAGCCTTTGTTCTGACCCAGAAGCACTACTTTTGGAAACAGGGAGTTTACTAACTGCTCCTGAACAACTGAGCCTGCAGGTGTTGAAAAAATCAGCAAGAACACTTTGTTGTCACTGGGTCCCTCCTCCCCAGAAACCGAGGCAGACCTTCCCAAAGCCTCTCAGAAGGAAAGCAGCAGTGCCACAGCAGTAGTTCTGTGCTGCTGCCAGCCTGGCCCAGAGCCAGCCCAGAGGTGTAGACAGAAGCCTGTTAATGCAGTTTCCCAAAACATCCCAGAGATGCCCACCACTCACATCCTAACCTTCTAACTCTCCTGAAGCCATATGGTTTCCACACCTTGCTACTCTTCTGCAAACACGTTTGGCTGAGCATGGATCTGAAATAACTACTTACCTGAGGCCATGTGGTGCTGGGAGAGTCTTGTTGAGAGCTTTTGTTGTTCAGATGAACTCCCAAGGGTGGCAAAAGTGTTCGATGAGGGATGGCATTACCTACAGAATTTACCTCCTGCCGTGCAGGATCCTCCGTGGTCTCTGGTGGAGTGAGGCCAACATGGGAGTTCAGAGGTGGCACTCTGCTCTTGCTCTGGAATTGCTTCTGCTGATCTTGCTGCTGCTGCTGCTGCAGTAAACTCTGAGGGTACAAGTGCCTGTACTGTTCATGGGGATCTTGGAAGCAATACTGAGGCACTGCTCCCAACTGGATAAGCTGCACAGGATGACTGGGATCCTGAGAGTACTGGTGTGGTTCATGCATAGTCTTTGGATCAGGTTCTCTGTGATACGGAAGTGGCAATTGCAGCTGCTGCTGCTGTTGCTGTAACTGCTGCATGACAGGCTGTGTTTGGTAATACTGAGCGATTTGCACTGGACACTGCCGCTGCTGCCGAGCTGGCTGCTGCTGCTGGATCTCCTGGATCGAGAGCCGCTGGTGTCCCTGCTGTGGCTGAGCGTAGTACTGAGGCTGCTGCAAGTGCTGCATCTGCTGTGGTAAGAGCTGCTGGGACTGCATTTGTGGAATGTGCGTCTGTCCCTGCTGAAATGCAGAATGCATCTGCATTTGTGATAAGTGCTGCTGGTAGTCGTAGTACAACTGTTGGTGCTGCATGACTTGCATTTGTTGCTTTTGCTGTGTGCTTGCAAAATTCTGTTGTGTTTGCTGTGGCACTGGTTGATATCTTTGTACAGTGGAAGTTACAGGCTGCTGCTCAACCGCTGGCTTCTGGGACAGCAGCTGCCTGAGTGCACTGTCACCAGAATTATCCACCATCGAAGACTCGGTGTGCAAAACCTGAGCCATGTTGTTGACTTGAATTCTAAGATTTTGGTTAGCAAATACTTGCGTAAAGGAGTCCAATTTATGCAGGACCCCACTGGTAATTTTTTGCGATCGATTTTCACTGGGTTGAGAGTAAGAATATTGGTATCCATCATGGGAGTCCCCCTGCCCAAGGGGGCTCCAGACTGCGCTTTGATTATTCAAATTGTTCCTTGTTGGGACATGGTTTCCTGAGCCAGAATGTGTCCAGCTGGTTTGTCTAGACGTATGCATTGAACCAAGGCTTTTTGAACCTACAGGCAAAGCTATACTGTCCCGTGAATCTTGGGGAAACTGAGGGGAAAGGGGGGATGCCTGGGGAGCATCCATAACAGACGTCCCATAGCTATGATTTAGAGATGGAAGGGAGTTCATTTGGTGTTGTTCGTAGTACAAGTTCTCATTGTTGTTGGCAGTATGGTTAGTTTTATACAATTGCTGGTCCCCCATTTTTGGTCACTTCTGTTCCAAACTTACAGGCACGCAAACCATTGAAATCTCTATGAACCCTGAGATAGCTGAGTGAGGGGAAGGGAGGGAGGGGAGAAGAAGCTAGAATTACTTATAATTCAGCATGTCCATGTGCATCACAAGGACTAAAATCTCCTCCAGTCTGTCAGTAATTCCAACCTCAGACTCGACGTTGCTTCACATCTTCAATAAGTGGACCACAGCACAAATCCTGCACAGATCAGTAAGTTCAGTGTGCCAAGCACCTGTGGAGTAAGTGAAAGACAAGGTAAATGTTGACTCTCTGCATAAACTGTTATTATTATTGCCTCAGAGGAAACTCTAAAATCTTCTAGTTTGAAATCCATAATCAGATGCAAAATTGTAACAGCTGGGCTATTTCAGAGCAGTTAGACTACTTCATCTCATCCCGTTATCCGGCCTCTTATCTAGTGCTCCGATAAAATCATTCTGCCAAACCAATAAAAGCTTATTCTTCAAAACTGTCTTTTCCCCTAAATTATATGAACATTCAAGCATTGTAAGCTTGCCACATCCTGCACCCTCATGACTAATTTTAGTTAGACAGTTGACTATCAAGCCAAGTCACAGGCTCACAGAATGGCTGGGGTTGGAATGGACCTCTGTAGATCACTGGTTCAATGCCCTGCTAAAGCAGGTTCACCTGTGTGTATCTCCAGAGGAGGAGACTTCACAACCTCTCTGTGCAGCCTTTTACAGTGCTCTGACACTGTCCAAGTAAAGATGGACGTATCATAACTAAGATGGAATTTCCCATGTTTCCGTTTGTGCCTGCTGTCCCTTGTTGCTGGCCACCACTGAAAAGAGTCTGGTTCCATCCTCTTGACACCTGCCCTTAAGAAATTTGTATGCATTGATAAGATCCCCTCTCTGTTTTCTCTTCTCCAGGCTAAACAGACTGGAGCTAAACAGTCTCTCCTCATAAGAGATGCTCCAATCCCCTAATCATCTTCATTGTCCTCTGAACCCTCTCCAGCAGTCATCTTTTTTGAACTGAAGAGCCCAGATCTGCACACAGCACTTCATTTGAGACCTCACTAGGGCTGAGTAGAGGGGCAGAATCACCTTCCTTGATCTGCTGTCAATGCTCTTCCTAACACCCCCCAGGATACCACTGGCCTTCTTGTCCACAGGGGCACACTGCTGCCTTAGGGACAGCTTGTTGTCCACCAGGACCCCCAGGTCCTTCTCTACAGAGCTGCTTTCCATCAGGCTGGCCCCCAGTTGGTACCAGTACGTAGAGTTATTCCTCCCCAGGTGCAGGACCCTACACTTGCCTTCACTGAACTTCATTAAGATCCTCTCCACCCAACTCTCTAGCCTGTCCAAGTCTTGCTGAATGGCAGCACAGGCTTCTGGCATATCAGACACTCCTCCCATTTTTGTATCATCATGTACATTCTGTCCCTTCATCCAGGTCACTGATGAGCAAGCTGAACAAGACTGGACCTGGTACTGACCCCCAGGGAACAGCACTAGCAATAGGCCTCCAACCAGACTGCATCACTGACCACAGCTCTGGGATCAGCCATTCAGCCAGTCCTCTTTCTACCTCACTGTCCACTCATCTAACGCACACTTCCTGAGCTTGCCTATGAGGATGTTATGAGAGATAGTGTTAAAAGCCTTGCTGAAGTCTGGGTAGGCAACATCCACTGCTCTCCCCTCATCCATCCACAGCCAGACATTCCATCATAGGAGGCTATCAGACTGGTCAAGTGGTATTTCCCCTTGGTGAATCCATGTTGACTATTAATAATAATAGTAATAATATAATTAATAGTAATAATAATGAAAATCTTAATTTAATAGTAAATCTTAAATTAATAGTAATAATAATGACATCCAGGATAAGCTGTTTCATCATCTGTCCAGGGATAGATAGAGGTGAGGCTGACTGGCCTGTAGTATATATGCTAAGACCAAACCAGTCAATGGAAATCTTTTCACTCCTCTTACACTGAGAGTGCTGAACTCCCAGCTTTTATTTTACCCTTTCACATGCAACCTTTTATAATTTTTACTGTATAAACTGTAACTCAAAGTAACATTTAACAGATGTCTGTTTTCAATAAATAAAAAATACATAAGCACATTATAGGGTTGTTTGACTATTCCACAATATGATGCAATCACTGTGTCTACAATTGTACTTATGCACAGAAGTACAATATGCTTATGCACTCATAAATACATTTTAACATAAAAGCTGATTCTGAAGTTTAACAAGAGCATAAAAATATTAGACCAAAACCTTAACTCTGCCTCCCTCACATCTGATTTTCTAAATGTAATGCTCTCCACCAAAGACTCCTGCATACTGACGTCCTTACCTTTTTAAACTTAGGAGAATCCACGATTTAGATGGATAAATGTGAAGTCACTGATGGAGAAAATTTTAACCATTGCCAGATGCATATTAAGGAGAGTCTGTGCTAGCAACAGCAAATAAGGGTAATGCATAGCTGTAGGCAGAGAAAAACCTTTTCCGTTCTAGCATAATGTATGACAGAAAACCATAGCTTCCAATGAAGAGGGCTTGCAATGTGTACAGTTTGTGTAAACCATCTACAACCATTAGTATGTAACATTTTCATGAGACAAATAATAGCTGAGATTAACTGCACATTTATTTCCCCTTTCCAGAAATATACATTGCCTCACAGTTTCTCTGAACACACTCCCTTCCAGATTTTTATAGAGGAACAATTAAAGAAGATAGGAGTCAACAATGAATAGTCAGGCTGCCAACAGGATTTTTCATCCACAACACAACTTCAAAGACTTCCTATTAAAAATTATGAAGGGCAACTAAACAAACCTTCCACAAAACATTAAAAAGGCATAAAAATAAACACTGTGTAATATTTCATACTGAAAGGCCATCAATGTTTAGAGGAAGAGGGGGAACATGCAACTCGTTTTATGCCTGCCAAGTTAAGAAAGCTCAATTGAGATGGTCTGAACACATCTTCTCATAAATACTGGATCTCTAGGTAGTAGACCTTTTGTATAGGAGCTATGTCCCATATTACCTCTTAACAGATCTGTAATTTACACCAAGTTCCTTGGTTTTGACCCTTCTTCTTGAAGTTTGAAGTTACAAATATTAGTCAAAGGACAAGAAATAACAGTGATACAAACCAGTGAGGGGGAATAAATGTCTCTAGGAGACAATTAAAAGACCACAAGAATTCCAAGAGTAAGGACAGTAAGAGACTTATTCTTAAGGGAGCAAACAACAAGATTTTGTTACAAACATTAATCAAGTGGCCAACCAGACCCCTGGCCCATTCTCTTCCCACAGGTAGGAGCATCATGATGGCAGATGCCACCAACTGTACCAGCAGCCATAGGCAGTGTTGTATTCACCACAGAAAATGCTGTCCCTTGGGCACCCACCAAATGCCACTTACTGCACCCTTTCACCTGGGGGTTACCTGTCATAGTTCTTAGGATACTGGAAAGCAGTCAAGAAGTTTTATAACCGATTCATTAGCACAAACACCACCTCTCTTCCCCTCTCTCAGAATCAAAAAAGAAAAAAAAAATGCTCAAAGAAATTTCCTCTCCAGCAGCTCTAGCATCCTCAACTCAGCTCTGGTTTGGGAGTTGGGATATAGTGCTGTGTGTTAGGTGGATTACAACTATACATCACAGTTATACAGAAACATTTGTAAAAATTTGAAAAATAATATGGAATATTATATTAAAATACCAATCAAATCACAAAAAGACTGGGAAGTTTAGTCGCTATGAGAACCACATTTGAAAAAATTTGCATTGTTTTCAAACACCCATTCTCCCCCTCCTAAAAAAAAAAAAGAAAAAAAAAAGAAGAAAAAAGAAAGATGAAAATATTCCTTTCAAATGCATCACTGATCTAGAAGGAGAAAATGCAAAGGTTTAAAAAGCATTGTTATTCTACATTCAGGTAACAGGAAAAAAAACATACAGCATGTTAATAGAAGCATAATCAGTAATAAACCAGTCCCTTAGATACCAAATATTTTTTTAGTTCTCAAACAGGCTTGATGCTGTATACAGTGAGAATTTGCTATCGGTTTTAACAGAATGGTAACAATATACATTTCTTCTTGGATACCCATGAGAGTATATGAGTGCTGCATACAATATATTTAAGGCTTTAGGGCCACCAAAGTCTCTGGCCAACTGAGAAGCCAATGGCAGCACTCTGAGTGACTTCCATTTCTTTCAGTGACAGGAAGAAAAGGGTGCTTTTTCTCCTTTTTGTTTAGCACTGGTGCCTAAACACCCATCACTGCCATTTATCACAAGTCTGTCTACTAAATAGTTAAATCAAACAACTACAAGCAGCAGGAAGTTTACAGAAACAATGGTTCTGCAGTTCTATATTTCTTCTCTTCCTAACAGTCATTTAGGCTACTTAACCTACTACATTTCTGACATTACAGATACATCCCAATTATGCAATCATTACAAAGAAACACGAAAACAAATGCAAACTGACAGAAACATTTCTGTAGACTGCCCAGAAAGAGAAATACCCTACTTAAGTTTATGGATGAAATCTGGACTCAAGCTAATGGGAATTCAATTGATTTCAACAGAGATAAGGTTTTGCTCCAACTCTTTTCTCATCATTTCAGCAAGGTCCCCTGCAACTTGTACAACTCCAGTCTCCAAACTAAAAACCACGGATACACCAAGATGGCTGAAATGTCTTTACACACTCCAGCGTCAAACACAAGCATCTAAAAGGCAATACAATTACTCCTGGAAGTATGTAATAACTTCATTCTGGTAAACATGAAATGGAAGAAAATTCCAACATTATCAGTCTTCAATAAAGGTGATTCTATTTTTCTCCTTTGTAAACTATTCACTGGAGAGCCAGAAGAAGCTGTGGAGTTCCCAGTACAGGATGGACACTAACTATTGGAGTGAGTCCAGAGAAGGTGATGACAGAGAGATGGAGCACCTCTCCTGTGAGGAAAGGCTAAGAGAAGTAGGATTGTTCAGTCTAGAAAAGAGAAGGCTTTGGGGTGACATAATTATGGCCTTCCAGTACTTGAAGAGAGCCTATGGAGAGAGACTATTTACAAGACCTTGTAGTGAAAGGACAAGGGGGAATGGTTTTAAACTGAGGGAGAGCAGGTTTACATTAGATATTAAGAAAAAATTCTTTGCTGTGAGGGTGGTGAGACACCGGAACAGGCTGACCAGAGAAGCTGTGGATGCCCTATTCCCGGAAGCGTTTAAGGCCCTGTTGGATGGAGCTTTGAGCAACCTGGTTTAGTGAAGGGTGTTTTATCCACAGCAGAGTAGTTGGAACTAGATGATCTTAAAGTGCCTTCCAACCCAGGCCATTCTATGAACTTAGAGAAGAGGCAGCGAAACATCAATAAGATGGTAGTTATAAAAGAAAACACTCCCAGCTCCATCACACACCACAGAAGCCAAAACCTGTAGAATTTTTCAAATTGAGTAAATAACAGATCAAACCACAGTCACGCAATCGAAGTGCCTAAATTCACATGAATTTCAGAACAAGGCATCCACTCCAAATAAGTCGCTGCATGAAAGTTGGGGTGGGTGTGGGCTGCAAAACCAGCCAGAGCCAGTTTCAGAACTGAGCTAATGGTGAGGGATGACAAAAGACTGTACAAGAGCAGATGCTGAAGGAAGCAGACTCATTAAAAGGCTGTAAAGTTATTATAGCACTGCACTGATCTAACCAATCTCGGTAGGCTGCATGGCTGTGTTTCAAAAAGGAATTGCATCCTATGGTTTGTCCAACTTATTTCAAGTTTTTCAGCTGTTCCTTTAAGCAAAACATCTACATGCTTTTACAGATTAATTACCAGTTAGCCTGAAAAAAAGAAGACTGGATAAGCTGGCAGATGCAAAAAAAATCCAAAAGAAAACACCCCTCCATGTTCAATTAGCTTCTTCAGGACAGAGCACCAGCACATACTGACAAGCAACAGCATCAAGCAGATGCTCATGTGCTCGGGTACCATCCCCTCTTGCGTCCCTCCTGCCCTCTGGGATGGTAACACTTCAGCTAAAGCAAGCTTAACCACCACCCTTAGCAGCCTAAACTGTGTTTTGTAACACTTAAGGCATGCTTGCTCCAGAAATGTGTCATTGCTGTGTGTTCTCCCAACACTGCAGACATATTTCAATCGTGCCTTACCACCTCTCAGTCACATAAGCAGAGACAGGGCTTTCTCAAGTTGCTATCTTTCTGCTATCAGAATATATGCTTCATTCTTAACTGCAGATAAGATAAATCCAAAATCAAGTTGTCCCTTCCCTTCTTTTGCTTCAATGTTCCCCTCCCATTAGCTTCAACAGAAACAAACCAAGGTTTATCTTATTCAATTTTTAGCCTTTTTTATGAGAATGTCTTTATTGACCTGTTTTGTTATTCAGAACTGTCAGATCTCCTGCCAAGCTATTCCTAAATGAAGACAGCCATCATTCACATCATCTTGCTCTCCGATTTCCTTTAGGATAGACGCAGGAATAAAAAGCAGTTCCTTCTCCTCTCCATTCTGCTAAATGCCAGCGCTACCAGCAGCCCCTGTCACACAGACTGACCATAACCCAGCCTTTTAAGGGACAGCACAGTCAGTCATGGTTTTCAGCTGGGCACTACACCACTATGAACCTACACTGAAGAGCAGCTTTAAAAACCAAGAGAGCACCATCTAAGAACACCTAAGAACGGACACACCTGCATTGCTTAAAACCAACTCTCAGTTGTGAGGTTGGCACTACCCCTGTATCTTCAGACGAGAGTAGTGCTGGAAGGCTGAGAAGCACAGAACTGGGAGAGGAAGGGTGGCATATTTCAAAGACCTCCATGCTCTTGCAGGCTGTTTAGTTACCAGGTTTGTCCTTATAACTTTTCACGTAGCCAGAGTTCAAGCCTCAGCTCTATTTCTTTTTTTTTTTTTCTGGCATAGAAAATAAGCCTGTGAAAAAAAGCAGCACAGTGCTCAAACAGAATGAATGATTCTGAATGCCAAGGAAGTTGGTTGCGTGAACCAGCAGAGAGGAAAAGGGAAGAAGAGGTGAGACGATAACTCAAAGATCTACTTTTTTTTTTTAAAGTATCTACAGAAACCCCAAAGACATCTGATATAGCAATAAAGAGAAGCAGAGACTGAAAATAAGGGTCAAAAGGTATCAGGACCATGGCTATTTTAGTTAGAATAAACTAGTAGCAATATGGATTTCAAGGACCAATAATTTTCTACAGCTGTCTCAAGGACAAATGCTTACAAGGATGAAAACCTTTCATCCAAATCCTGGATACAACTCTTCTATGGTTTCTACTGCATTTCAATTTCAGCTGGTTTTGGATGGCAGAGATCTCGAACCCATGTCCATATCTGTCCACAAACCCCAAGGTTAGCACTTTTAGGCAAAACCAGCACCAACAAAAAAACCTCACTTCAGTATACAAGAAAGTACGCAAATAAAGGTATTACAAAAGTGAACACGATTGAAAAGAAGTAAAATATTTAGCAGACTGATTTTTATAGGAAGCATACTAAGAAAGCTATACATGCTTAAAATGGAAGGGAAAAACAGATTAGCTGCTTTTTAATATTAATGCTGGTAATTCTTCAACAGTTGCACAAATCCTTCAAAAATTATCATTCCCTTTGCAGCTGAGCTTCTTCTGCAGTGCAGTTGGAAAGGCTGCTGAGTCTCATGTGGCTGCTCATTTAAGCTGTTCCCATTTCCACTCTTAAGAGTGACTAGAATGTCCTAATTCAGTTTAATAAAGAACACATTGGACTTGGGGGAGGGGAGAACAACGATGGCATTGGGAGAGGAACCGAGCAATTTCTCTACTTCAATGAAGTTTAAAAAAAGGCAACAACAACAACAAAAAAACAACAGCAAAACCAACAGTTGATCATCTCAGGAAAGTCTCTAGAAAAAGGGGAGGAGAAAGGAAGACAAACAAGAAGAAACATTTTTCTCTCTTTCTGATCTAAGTTGTAAGTAGAAAATGCATTCTGAGGCAGTGGTAATTTAATGAAAACCTTTTTTTCCTCCAAACTAACAGAATTCTGGTTATTCAAGAAGAGGAGGCTGATTTCTAAATAAAGCCATTAACCGAATTTAGTTTAAGGGAGATACAATTTCATGAGTCCCAAAGAAACGAAGAAGGTTGTTTCAACAAATCTGATTATCTTTGCTGTCAGTGAATTCATGTTACAGTTTCAAGGTACTCGGAAGGCTTTGGAGAACTGCAACTGAAGCAGGTATCACATTACTTCATAAAAAATGGCAAATGTAAAATTATGTGATCTCCTCATAATACTGATTAAAAATAAAAATAAAAGACAAGCCTTGGCTAAGGCCAGAAGGGGACTTGAATTGCATATTCCATGACTAACTGACTAAAAGTGTACCGAAGACAGCACTAATTAAAGTGATAAACACAGTAGTTTACTTTTTTTAATATTCACCAATACATTACTGCATATTTGATCAAGGCTGAAGCTGTCTGTGAAACTTTATTTGAAATTTCTTCAGCCAGCCTGGGTTTACTGACTGCTTAGATGACATAAATCATAGTCCCTTCTGCTCAGGGCAATACTCTCAAATGCTTCTTGGAAAATAGACATGTCCTATTAGCAAAATTGCCCTCAACTTCATATTTTAGTTTCCTTCTATTACTGAACTGAGTGACTTGTTACTCCCCAGCAAGATCCTAGTTCTGCAGACATGAGAAGCCATGGGTATGAAGATCTTAGGACAGAGAGGTTAGATCTTATTCACTTATGGTATGTGCTACATTACAATCTCTGGTCCCTGCTGTTGATATGTGGGAGGGAGAGCGATTTTTAAGCCTTTTTACTCAAACATCAATCCACCAGCTACTGCTGTTACCACAGCCAGGATAAGCACATACAATTTTAGTTCAAGGTGAGCATCCTTGTAACACACTTAAGCAGTTTCTTCCTGACCTCTGCAGTGTTTACGCTCTGTAGGGTGTAATGTGATTTCTTTTTTCTGGAACTGTAAACGCTTTGAAACAGTCAAAGAACATATGCTAGGATTTACAAAAACAGGCAAGGAGGAAACATCCTGAGACAGATAAATAATTAAAAAAAACAAGCAGAAATAGTAGTATGTGGAAAATAGCATATGTCTAAGCTCTCAGTGGGGAGGGAACAGCTATTTTGAGCCTGGTGTATCCCCTAAAAGAGTTTTCAGAAATGCAGCTGCAGGACCCTCTGAAAAGTCCATCCCTCTAAACTACAGCATGCTGGTATCTAGCAACGGAACCAGGTGAAATGGTTATGCAGAACTGACCACATTGGCTGCTGCTTTTATTTTTTTTCAAATTAAGGTAATGTCCTTTTGCTTGTATGAGACAACACAGCCAAAGTAGTCCTTTAAGAAAGGTATAAATGCGTGTGTATCTCCTGTGTCATACATACTGTGAAATAATATTTTACAAGATACACAGCCAATGCACAACTAATCATATTTGAGAAGCCCATCAATAAAGTCAGAGACTCAGAAGCCCAAATTCTGGAAAACAGTCAAAAAGCACTGAGTCTATTAAACAAGCCAGCCTTAGAGAAACTGGACATATGCTGCGACATTACCTGATTTTTGAGCATTTGTGAGATTCTTGTATCTTCTTGTGCTCTCTTTGCCATAACATTTCATGCTGCTGTCATTCTGTGATCTCAGAGTGATGTATCTAAACAAAGCAAAAGAATGCAAATTAGTTTTTCCCCACAGGTGACTATCTTCTATCACCAGCTTGGCCCAAAGCATGAGCAGACCTGTAGCCATGAGCTTCCAATTGTAACACAACAAAACACTAACTTCTATTCAAAAGAGTATCTCCAGGTTACTCTCTAAGCCACTATTGCAGACAACATCCAGCAGCATGCAATTCCTTTAAAGAACCACCAAGAATCCCTTTCCCATACTGACAGTGAGAGACTGCTTCATTGTCAAATCTCTGGCATTGATACATCCACAGTCCTTCAAATTAAAGACTGAAATACAAGTAAATGAATCTTTACTTTTTACTCAGCTTGGCACCTACTGCAAAATGAGGAATGGGCTTTGTTGATGCAATAAATAAAACATCTTGCCTCTACTGCAGAGACCATAAAGATTTCACAGCATCCCAGGCTGCTTTGACAGAACCCAGTGGCTTCTCTCATGGAGAGGAGATTTGCTGGCCCAGAGCTTGCAACCTACATGATGAGTATCACACAAACAAGAGAAGGTATAGAAATCAGGAAGGGAGGGATTAATGACAGTCAAAGATGTGGGAGATAACAATCAGGCTGTCACCCAGCACAGAAGAGATATCTAGACAAGGCATCTTAAATTATTTAAATGAAAACAACACATTTGTTTTTCTAAATGCTGCTGCCTAGATCACTTTTAGGAAAGGCCCTCAGCACCTGAGGGCATTTAGAAGGCTGGCTGACATCACTGTGAGGCCACTCTACATAACCTTAGAGAAGTCATAGAGATTGGGGGACATCCCAGAAGGCTGGAAGGTGGCTAATGTCATTCCCATCTACAAGGAGGGCTAAAAGGAGGATCCGAGAAATTACAGGCCCATCAGCCATACTTCAGTCCCTGGGAAAGTTACAGAACAAATCCTGCAGGGGGTTATCACAAAACAAATGAAACACATGACTAGGAAAAGCCAGCGTGGATTCACCAAGGGCAAATTGTGCTTGACAAACAAAGCTGTTGATGTAGGGCAAGCAGTAGACGCTGTCTACCTGGATTTCTCCAACACTTTTATATAGTTTCCCACAGCCTTCTTCTAGAGAAACTGCTGTGTTACAGTCTGGACAAGTGGTCCATGTGGTCAGTAGGAAACTGGCTCACAGGTGGCCCCAGAGAATGGTGGTAAACAGCTCCTTTTCCAAATGGCAACCTGGTAAAAGTGAGGTCCCCCAGGGACCAACACTGAGCCCATCACTGTTTAATACCTTCATAAGTGATCTGGAAGATGGCATAAGTGTACCCTGATAAAGTTTTCTGATGGTACCAAGCTAAGCAGAGAAGCACACGCGTTGGAAGGGAGAGCCACCCTGCAGGAAGACCTGGGTAGGCTGGAAGAGTGGGCTAACAAGAACCTTACAGAGTACTGCAAAAACATGCAAGGTCTTGTGGATTGTACCAGATGATCCTTGAGGTTCCTTCCAACCTGGTATTCTGTGATTCTGTAAAACAAGCCTGGAAGCTTAGGGTGCAATTCACAGCTCCATGATATCAATGGAAAACTCTTCATTCACACTGAGCCCCGATGGTTTTGGAAAATCATTCCAGGCTTAAGAAGAAAAATGTAGGAATGATCACAGATAACCTCAGTGAGGTCCCTCAGCATTTACTTCCTCTCACCTTCATGCTAGATTCACTTGCTTAAATTATTCTTTTAAAATCTCTGATAGTAAGTCCAAAGCATTGTGACACTACTACATACAGAAAGAAGCTGCCCCCCAAGTCCAGCACAGAACAAGTGCCCTCCCTTAGTCAACCAGCAACACAAATCCAAGCAGCTCCCCTGTCCTCCCAATGCCAGCCTCTGCTTTCCCCTTCACCTTGGCCCAATCTCACAGAAAACAGACAGGTCCACCGCACAATCCAGACACCAACCCATCAAAACATGCACCGTGAGAGACAGCAAAGTCCCTTACAAAGCCTGACCTGCCTGAAACATACTTCTTCAACAGAAAGCCTGAGCTGATGGCAAATGCTGGTAGCATCGCCCAGGGATATATGGAGTTTCTTGGATCTAAGCAAGTTTTTGCTTAAAACATTACCACATTGAGCCCCAGTAACTAAAATCTGTGCACGTCCACATCCTGCTGCAAACATGAGCTGAAATGCTACAAACGTCCCCAAACACAAACTTGCTTGCATCCCACCTGCTTACAACTTTTCTAAGCAAATCCATGAATTTACCTCTTTGTCAAAATAAGACAAGTTTTAATAAATCCACATGTACACAGTGCCATACCTGACTTGGTTTTTATACTGGTAATTAACACCTTCAGGTCTGTAACAGGCATGTTAAATGTTCTAGACAACAGACAAACGTGTACCATTTCTGTTTGTAACAGGAAATACTCAGACACACACAGAAAACCCGAGGTTAACACCAGTGGAGCCAAGTGACAAAATGTTGGGGGTTTTTTGTCCCAGTTAAACATAACTGTTTAGAACTAGCCAGTATCTTTAAATTTAATCTTAAAAAAGTAACTGCTATATCCTGGGATGGGGCAACCCAGGATGTATGTACAGACTGGGGAATGAGATGCTGGAAAGCAGTGCCACAGAAAGGGACCCGGGGGTCCTGGTGGATGGCAAGTTGAATGTGAGTCAGCAGTGCCCTAGCAGCCAGGAGGGCCAACCGTGTCCTGGGGTGCATCAGGCAAAGCATCAGCAGCCGGTCGAGGCAGGGGATTGTCCTGCTCTGCTCTGCACTGGGGTAGCCTCACCTTGAATACTGTGTGGAGGTCTGGGCACTGCAGTATAAGAAGGATATAAAGCTGTTAGAGAGTGTCCAAAGGAGGGCAACGAAAATGGTGAAGGGCCTTGAGGGGAAGCCCTACAAGGAGCAGCTGAGGTCACTTGGTCTGTTCAGCCTGAAGGAGACTGAGAGGAGACCTCACTTACAACTTCCTTGTGAGGGGAAGAGGAGGGGCAGACACTGATCTCTTCTTTGTGGTGACCAGTGATAGAACCCGAGGCAACGTCCTGAAGTTGCGTCAGGGGGTTTAGACTGGATATTTAGACTGGATATTAGATATTCCCTGGAACAGGCTCCCCAGGAAGTGGTCACAGCACCAAGCCTGCCAGAGTTCAATAAGCATTTGGATGATACCCTTGGGCACATGGTGTGATCCTTGGGGATAGTCCTGCACAGGGTCAGGAGCTGGACTCCATCATCCCTGTGGGTCCCTTCCAATTCAGAATATTCTGTGTTATTCTGTGTGATCATGAGCCATGACCAAAGTCATAGTATATAGGTTTGCTTTCTTTTTCAATTATCCATCTGCTCTGAACAACAAATGCTCGTATTAAGCCTAAAAATGCCAAAATATTCTGCAGACAAACCATCCCTGGTAGCTTCCTGCAAGAGGCCAGGCCGATGGATGCCAGGAAAAACAACAGGAATGCCCAGAAAAATCCTTTTCTGCCTTTCTCATTTGTTTTTGCTGCTTTTCCCACTATACTACCTTCATTACTAGAGCTACAATAACACCCATATGCAGGTGTACATAAATTATCAAATATGTGCAAAGCTCTCATACATAATATCACAGTTAAAAATAAAACTTCGGGCATTTTGGAGGCAGAGGTAGTGAACTGATGGCTGATAAATACTGAAAACAGTCCCAACATAATTAGTTCAGGACCAAACACTACAAAAGTACATAAAACTCACAAATGAGGTTTTAATTCTTTTCATTAAATTTTAATCAGCATCTCATTTTTTGAAGTTTAGATTAAAAAGCAATCTAATTTTATATTCCTTTGCCATATTCTTCAGTTTTGCTTCCATCCCAGCCCCTAGATTTTGCATACAAGCAAAGCACAGTAAGGAAAAGCTGAGAAGTGAAGCCTACAGCAACATTTACAAATTAAGACCTAAGTCAGAGATCGGCTATCCCATACGCACAATATAAATTTTCAGTCCTCTCTCTTCATTAGGATTGATGACACTGCTGGAAAATAAGGAGCACATAATACCTTTTATGGGAAGGTAAAATACAGATGAATTAACAGAGAGAGAATGCAGCTAAATCAATTTCTCATCTCAAGATAGTAATGGAGGCAATTTCTTGAACTTTACTACGCTTGTAACATATTGATCAGCAGAGCTTCACACTGAAAGTTAAACCAGGTATTTTCCCAGGGATAAAATGGAGGATGGCAGCAGAACTAGGCAACACACCAAAGACAGGGATTTTCTTCAGTCATGTTACACTTCAGAAAAATCGAAGTTTCCACCTACTTGCATGTTACTGCAACACACAAGAAGATTTCTAGATTAAGGCTGAATTAGTCCTGTATGAGCCTTAACAAAGCAAATTTCGTGATATGGCAACGGGGAATGGTTTCAAACTGAAAGAGAAAAGGTTTAGATTAGATACTAGGAAGAAATTCTTTACTGTGAGGGTAGTGAGGCATGGGAATGGGTTGCCCAGAGAAGCTGTGGATGCCTTACCCCTGAAAGTGTTCAAAGCCAGGGTGGATGGAGCTCTGAGCAACCTGGTCTCGTGAAAGATGTCCCTTCCCATGGTAGGGGTTGGAACTAGATGATTTTAAGGTCCCTTCCAACCCAAACCATTCTGTGATTCTGTGATTCTATGATTTACTTTCACAGTATGAACTTTTGTATCATTTGACATTAAGAACTTAACTGAAGTGTTAAATTGGGAACTCAGACTTCCTGTAGATCATCAGAGCACCCAAAATGGAATTCTGGGAAAACACCAGAAAAAAAAGAAAAAAAAGTAATTTGGGATTTCTCCTCTCCTTCCTAATGGTCATGTGTCTAACCATTCACAAACACTAGCTCATAAACTTGCCACGAAATGAATAAACCTCAGCCACTTCAAATCACTGAAATACAAGTTTTCTTTACTGTATTTGTCATTTTTTCTATTACAAGAGTGACCAAGAGCATCTTGTTATCTAAATTGGTTGGTCATGATT